ATGCATTAAGAGGGTATGTCTTACCGTACTACTATAGTACCCCGATATACCCCGTTCGGATTACTATAGCTTATGGAACTATATTATCGACCCTAGTAAATAATCGCGATAGACTTTATTACGGACTTACTAATATCTAACGGTTACGATTCTATATAGGTTATTATAAATCCCTTTATTAAAATAACGTACTTTATTTCGTTAAAAAAGGACGGTAAAAAAGCCGAGGACTTAATACTTATTTTCGTTCGTAATTATTAGCGGCTATATAGGATCCCTTTAGATATTATCTCCGACCGAGACTTACGATTTACCTCCTATATATGGAAGGATATTCTAAAGCTCCTGGAAATTAAACCTAGAATAAGTACCGCCTTTTATCCTTAAACCGATAAGTAGACGGAAAGATTTAACTAAATCCTAGAAGTATACCTACGCGCCTTCGTAAATTACGAAATAAGCGACTAGGAAAGCCTATTTCCTACTACCGAATTTACTTATAATAATACTACTTTAATAGCTACCGGTATATTACCCTTTTACGTTAACTACGGGTAATACTTAGCGGCATATAATTCCCTATTAGGTATCCCTAAGAATCCAGGAAGTAATCTCTATACTTATTAAATAACTAGGGTATATAACGAGGCTAGGTAGCATTTAAAGAAAATACGGTAGCGAATAAAAGGATAAGCGGATAAGTACCGAAAGGAAGAACCTCCTTTAAAGGTCGGGTAACTTATTATATTAAACGCTTATAACATTAAAACCAAACGCCTTATAAAAAAGATAGATAAAAAAATGCTCGGTTTCTTTAAGATTTAAAAGGTCGTTTTTCTTATAACCGTAACTTTAATATTCCCGAGAGGCTAGCGTATTTATAGTATCTTTTACGTATTCCTTATTAAACCTTACCGCGCTAGTAATTAGAAATTACTTAACCTTAATTAGGTCTTACGGGAGGTAGCCCCGATTAAGGTAGAAGACTACGAGGTAGATAAGGTATTAGATTCCGCTAAAACCGGAAAAGTTATTAAATATTTAATAAAGTAATAAGGTTAGCCGGCTAAGCGTTACTAGACTTAGGAGCCGTAGGAATACTTTACTACCGAAGGAATAAAAGAAGCTATTAAGTTATTTTATTAATAAAACCTTAATAAGCTTATTAACTAACGAGCCTAGGTACCTAATTAACGCTTAAAGACGAGCTTCTTCGATAAGAAGAGATAATATTATACGGGGATAGAACCTTACGTTAATAATTAGGTTATAAGGGTTAAGAGGATAATATCGGGTATTAAGGTTATTACCTCGGGAACCTATTAAGGAAAAGTCCTAGATAAGCTTCGGATAGCTTCGGTAGTAAGGTATAAAGGTATAAAGGTACGAGGGTACCTTTAAGATATATTAAAACGAGAAGGGGACGACGGACTTAAAGAAGAATAAGGACCTAAGAGACCCCCTATAGAATTATTAGTTAAATTAAACCTATTCCAAGCATATCCCCTTGTTATACGGCCCGGAGCGTAAAGAGCAGGCCCTCGACCAGAGGATCGACGGAGGGAAAGACGGCGAGAGAGACGAGTCGCTATCCTAGGGGGAATGAAGCATGAAGCGGCCGAGGGCAGGCGATAACGGCTCGCGTGTATTGGACTTTGAATGAGGCATACGCTCGGAGTTATGGCGCAGTAGGTCGTCATTCTTTCAGAATGGCTCTTGACGCAGATGGATGGCGGTTCCTCTTGGATCTCCTTGGCATACTACACAGATTGATTAGTATTTGACGCCCGATATTGAACGTGTTACGTGAGGGGGGGTATTAGGTACGATGTCATATGATGCGGCTAACTCTGTGTGATTCTCATCGCGAGTGAATGTTATCGATACCGCTTGCGCCGAGATTAGAGGGCGAGAACAAGCCGCGCACCGAAATCATTCACGGAATAAACCTTTCCATAGGCTAGCTAGCTCTTGCAGCCCAGGAAGGTGGCTGAAAATGGAATGCAGCGAGCGAGTAGGTATACAGGTGAAAGGGGGAAGTCATTCGGGGGAGGATTTGCGACGGAGCTTGCTGCTATGCCTAGGTAATATTGTCTCGACAACTCGGCGAGCACCCGGGTAGGTAGATAGGTATGTACCTAAGCGTTACCGTGTAGTTATGCATTGTGCCGAGTTAAGCCTCGACGGACCAGGTCAGGCTACGCTGGCCGGGGGGCACGTTGCCGGCCCACCGGCTTGGGTCGGCGTCACCCTGATAAGCGAAAACTTAAAAAAAAAAACACTGCCGCCGAACGGGTACGAGAGTACCTATACCTATTACCTATACCAGGTACCTACCTTATAGTGCACTGTAACCTATAGGTGGTAAATGTACCCACCCGACCCCTACTAGGTGCCCGCCATCAGTGTAGACACGCCACCTAACCTACCTAGACTACCCTGGACTGCCCCGTCTACGGCTCTCATTGCACCCCCCGGGTTCATGGTGCGTAGGGAGGTAGGTACCTGAGGGAGAGAAGTACCAGTTGAATAACCACCACGTCCTCTTCCGGCCAGTAAAATAATTTACCTATTTCGCCTTCCTTCCTCAATGTCGGCAAACACCTTCCATTGCAGAGCTCGCGGGGGTCTCGAATTTCGCAGCCATCCGAACCTCGCCAATGGATCGCCGCCAGATTAACCCGCCCAGCTTCTATTTTTATCGTCGAAAGGGGAGGGAGAGGGGTCGATTGATCTTTGAATTGCACGTGTAGCACGTGCGCCGACAATAATCTCCCGTGGTGTCGCGTCCGACTTTTTGCCCGTTGAGCCTGGCGTCCCGGTCTCGTTGCCTCGATGAGGGAGAGCGATTAGGGTTGCAGCAGGGAGCCTCGGCGACGCAATATCGACGCGCAACTCGACGACTTGGAATTGTCCCGACGGAGACTGGCAGCAGAGTCCAAGAGGAGAGCTTCGAGGATCGGCTTCCACAACCCGGCAACCCCCCCCTCCCCCCCGTTCTCGTCGTTGGGCAGATGTGGGCAAGGTGACAATGGCGGCGGAAAGAAGAAGGAAAAGAACCCATCTCCACAATTCCTCGAAGATCTCAATTCGCGAGACGGAGAAACAGAGAGACGGGGAGAGAGGGAGAGGGAGGGGGGAAAAATAAGGGAGCGGGCAGGCGAGGAAGAGAAGAAGCGCGAGAGGATTCCGACCTCATTCCCCGGTTGCTAGGCATCGCAATCCGTCGAGCGCGCGCGGCAGATGCCTGCAACGATCTTGACAAATACTCTCTCTCCCCGCGAGACATCTCCACTACTAAGCGATAGGTACGACAACCTCTCGCCCGACGGACCCGGCTGGGATCCGTCCAGCAGCGGCAAGAATAGACGTCATGGCACGACGCGGGAAGCATGTGCCATTCCCCAGTTCGCTGCACCCTACTGCTCCATGTAATGTCGATCTGTGCGCGCGCGCGCGCGCGTCGAAGGGGGGAGGGGTGCCGCTCGCTGCGCGTGCATGCATACATACATGCGCAGGTGAGATAGGGGATGGGCATGGGCCATAGGCCATGGGCCATGGTATGGTATGGCAGATGGTCGAGCAGGCTGCTCGATGCGCGAAAGACGGGTTGCTATTAATAACCCGTGGAAATATTGTCTAGCATCTGCGTTGCCACCGACACCCAGACGCACCCCCTCCCCTCCCCGGCGGGTGGAGGTGACGACAGGCTCGTAGGGACTAGCGAGGCGATAGATGCGCTCCTCATCTCCGACGGATACCCTCGCTGTGTCTTGCCCCGTCCCGCGTGCTCACCTGACTGGCGATGCCGTCATGGCCCACCGCAAAATGTGATGGGCCGTAGACGCTGCAATCTCTTCGCATCCGACCTGTCGTCGCCCGCGTCTCTGGTCGCGTCGCCGTCGTCTATTTTTGTCTCTCGCTCAGGATTGCCTTGCTACCTCGTATCGTCATATTGCCGTCTAGAACCACGCAGGCGCAACTCTTCTATAATGAGCACCTCCGCACGTTCTCCATACGGGACGCCCTCCGATGCGACTGTCCTCGGATCGAGTTGACCGGTTCCTCTGGCCTGCCTGCAGCCGTGCCGTAGAGAAATTGTGGCCGGGGCACGGGGGCAGGCCAATGAGAGTCGCTACCGAAAAGCAGGCCCGTTCGGTATTATTGATCTATGCTGCTGCGAGTTTTATACCGATGTGCCTCGAGGGGATGGGGATGAGGGGGGCTCCCCTTCTTCTCCCCATCTCGGAATTGCCAACACGAAATGCTACCCTTCATCGTCACGCCGGCAGTAAAGAGGAGTGCGAACGCGTGCGGGCGTGCGTGCGTGCGCTACCTTGACGCAAGTGCGCAACGCCCACGGGCTCGTGACAATTCCGTCTCCTATCGTGCGAGCTGATAACTCTCTTCGTCCTTGGCGAACAGTAATTTGGCGCTGTAGGGGGAGATGATAAGTGGCGCAACTCGCGTGCGCGCGCGCGGTTGAGGCTTGGAGGGAGGGGAGCTAGAGAGAACGCACGACGGGGAAAGACACGATGCCCCTTTTGGTCTTATTAGTGACTTTTTTTTTTATCACAATCGTCGTCGTCTAGCCTCGATACGGCCTGCCCTCCACGCCACGGCCAGACGGAGAACGAAAGGGAGCGCGCGCGAGACGGACGGAGAGCGAGAGAGGGAGCGGGGGCAGAGACCCAACAACTTGACATCACCAAACCCTCTCTCGTCTCCCCTCCCTTCTCCTACGGCGCTGCTGGAGACCTTCTCGCCAGCGGGTGTGTGCCAAGCGCCGCCTAGATTCCCATTGCACCCGCGGTTACATTCCGAGGGCGCCCTATAGTCCATACCCTTGACCGCAATCTGCATGTATTCCGCGGCGCACCCCTAACTCCACGTATACTTGTTCGCCCGTACCTATGTTGGCCTGCTCCACGAGGTTATTTCGAGACTGACCTTGCAGCCGTCGGGCTATCTTTAAAAAACACGCCTCGCCGTCGGATCCATTCACTTTCTCGCGCTAGGATTGCGGCGGCATCTCACCGCACATTCCCATCCCCGGTCGTTTCTTTTTCCTTTCCTTGATTTTTTCTTTCCTTTTCCCCCCTCCCGATCCTTCGCCGCACTCGCTTTTTGGCTGACCATGTCTGGTAGCATAACGACGCCATTTGGCCATGCGGTGCCGCCTGCGCCGCGCCACTCCGTCACCGTCCATATGCCGGGGTGGGAGACGGTCGAGAAGTTCGCGTCCGACCCGGCCTCCGTCATCGGGACCTTCCAGAACGTCTATCCGCGCATGAAGCCGCACCAAGATATCGCCGATGTGAGAGAACTCCCACCGCCTGCGATCCCGTCTGCGGCACCCCGGCCTGGCTAACCCACGCTCTGTGCGCAGCTGTCCGCCGCCGTCCTCAAGTACACCGACGCCGAGGACCAAGCGTGCCTGCTGTTCTCGTCGTTGCAGTCGGCGAGGGAGTGCGTTGAATATGCCACCTCCGAGAGGCGGGACGACGGCACCAGCAAGAAGCCCGTTCCGCCGGACCAGATAGTGGTTCGTACCTTCAACGCGGTGGATCGCTTCTTTGCCGTGCTATTCCCGTCGGAGTGGCTCAGCATCGTCGCCAACTTCTGGGTCACGCCCGGTGCCGGCATCTCGTCTCGGTTCGCCGACGCGAATCTTAAGCGCATTGCGTCGCTCGCCGAGCTCCCGACGCCGACCGCCGAGTCCGTCCGCCCAGGCTTCGAGAGCACGGCGCACCAGGACATCCGCCACCGGATCGTGCAGCACCTGGGGCGTTCCTCGCTGACCCCTCGCGACCAGCCGAGGCCGACGCCTGACGACGTCTACCTCTTCCAGACCGGCATGGCCTCCATCTTCAAGCCGCACACTTACATGCTCAAGCGCAACGCCGGCACCACCGTGCTCTTCGGCATGTCGTTCATAAACACGCCCGTGGTCTTTGAGGAGTTCGGCCCCGGCCTCGCATTCTTCGGCAATGGCGGCGAGGAGGACCTGCGCGACCTCGAGAAATTTCTCGAGGAAGAGAGGGACGCCGGGCGGAAGGTGCAGGCGATCTGGACCGAGTTCCCGGCAAATCCGCTGCTCGAGACCGCCGATCTGGCGAAGCTCCGGGAGCTGGCGAGCACGTACGACGTCGTGCTCGCGATCGACGACACGATCGGCAGCTGGGCGAACGTCGACATCACGTACGTGGCTGACATGCTTGTTACCTCTCTAACGAAATCATTCAACGGCTACGCAGATGCGATCGCGGGAAGCGTGATCCTCAACCCGGCGTCCCGCAAGTACCACGAGCTCAAGACGCTCTTTGACAACTACTACGTGCCGGAGCTCTACATCGACGACGCCGAGGTCATCGACCACAACAGCCGCGACTACATCGACCGCACGCTCAAGCTCAACGCCAACGCCGCCGCGATCGCCGACTACCTGCAGTCGTGCGCCGAGGACCCGGCCAGCGCCGTCTGCCGCGTCTTCTACCCATCTATCAACGCGTCGGGCGCGCACTACAGGCAGTTCATGCGGCCGGACAAGATCTCGGGATACGGGTGCCTACTGAGCGTCGAGCTCGAGGACGTAGCGACGACGGCGGCCTTCTACGACGCGCTCAATGTGCACAAGGGCCCACACCTCGGCGCCCCCTTTACGCTCGCCTTCGCCTACGTCATGTGCATGTACGGGGGCCGACTCGACTGGGCCGCGCGGTACGGCATGAAGCCGACGCAGATCCGGGTCTCGGCCGGGCTCGAGGAGACCGAGGCGCTGGTCGACGAGTTCAGGCTCGCCGTGCAGGCGGCCGACAGGGTCAAGCAGGGCGGTGGCGCCGAAGCCGCTTGACGATGTAGCTAGATTACAGAGATACCCCCCCTCCTACACCTTCTACACCTTCCACCACGCCTCCAACCTTGACCGCCTCCGAATCTAGACCCTTTCTCCCTCCCTCCCCCCCTTTTATCCCGCCCCCGTTCGCACCCACTCCCCTAGACACTTTGTCGCGCCCGCTCGCATCATTCCGCTGTATGTATTAGGTAGCTAGTTGGCTCGGTTAGCGAAGCTATGCCATGAACGTAACCTCGAAATCCTGCTCTCTTCGTCCTCGTAGTTCCATAATCGCCGATATTACGTGACACGAATGCGGGTGAGTTAACGCTGACCACAGGATCCTAAATTTCTGGCTTTTCGAGCCTGCGTGCCGCACTACGCAAGCAAGAGACCTACAGCATTAACCGAGGATGGACGGGGCCTAGACATGACTCGATGCATAGCGATGCGAGTGAGCGGCGGTAGCAGGGAAGTATTGTTACGCTGAGCGAGCCGGGAACGTCTGCGAGTAACGGGGAGGATGTGTTACCGTTGCCCGTAGTCACGCCATCGGAGCTGTGAAGCCGCCCCCTGGGGCAGACCGGATCGACCCGGCCCCCCCCTCTCGTGTGCACGCCGATCGGAGCCCGTCCTGGCATCGCGGCAGGCCGCCCACACGTGGCCCGGGGGCTGAGCTCGCCGAGCCGCCCGCCCCGGCACGCACAGCGGACGCCCCCTCCTCCTACCCCTCTTCTTGGTACTGCTCCTCTGTGTACCCCCCTCTCCCCTATCCCACCGCAGGGCCAAGCACCACAGCAGCCAACGTCGAGCTCGGCACCGAAACAGGAGGGGATTGGGGCTGGCTAGCTCGCTGGGTTGGGCAGGACGGCCTTGCGACCTAATCTCCGAGGCTACCCTACGCCTTACTATAGTAAGGGTGTGTGTGTCTGTGTGTGTGCCTGCGCAGCGGTGCGGTGCGGGGAAGGGCACGGAATGGGCTTGGCTTGGCTGGCCAAGCTGGCCGGCGCTCTCCCCCCGGTTGGGGCCGCGCGGGCGACCTAGCGGCGCGCGCGCGCGCGCCGAGGAGCTACGAGAGAGGCTACCTACCTAACCTCCTTAGCTGTATCCCCCCCCCCCCCACCAGCGAAATTTCCGCGTCGTTCCGTAATGCGCGATAGGGGAAGGGGGGGTGGGTGAGGGGAGAAGAGGGAGGAGGAGGACAGGGCCCAGCCTGTCTGCCGCCCGCCGCGGCGCCGTCGACTGCTACCTTTCGCCACACCGTAAGCGAGATGAGAGCTCCGCTACGCCTGTCGTCAACTGACAGCGGTTTCTGATCGCGTGCATGTGCGGCGGCGCGCGCGCGCGCGTTCTGCGCCCGCAGGTGGAAAATTCTTCGAATTAAAATTACCGTAGCACTGGCGCCTCGAGAGCGAGCGAGAGAGACATTGCGTACATATGTACGTGTACGTGCAGATGTGCGTTGTGTAGGTAGGTGGGTGGGCGAGCAGTAGGTACGTAGGTGAGTGGGCGACATGCACTGAGATAATACCGCGGAGACGGCACAGTTGGCGAGAACTCGGCAGCAGCGGCGCCTGAGACCAGATGGCTCCCGCAGCGCAGAGGAACGCTGGCGTCTTGCGCGCAGGTATTTGTCACGGCCGTTGGGGTCACGCGAGAGCGGCCAGGGGGGGGGGAAGCCGACGTGATAATACCTAGCGGTGGAAGAGGAGCCGCTTGGCTCGCAAGCTGCGCGACGGATAGCTACCCGCACGGCGAGGCGCTGAAGGCAGGCCGCGAGACGAAGGCTCTGATCTAGCGTCGCGCTTCGCCTTGGGGTAGGTAACCTCATCTGTGCCCAGCGCGCGCGGCGGCCCCCTAAGCACGACGCTGAGGAGACCCAGGCCGTCTGCTAGGGTGCTCGATGGCCTCGGACGTGTCAACCGTCTGGGCGGTCTCCCCTATATCCGCGCCGAATCTCCACCCGGATAGGGTTCCGACGATGTGACGCAATACATATCGAAATTGACGCCCATCTCCCGCGGGGGGGTGGCCCCCGTCGATCCGATCTACGAGACAGCCCCAGACAGCACACAGCGACTCGCACGTCGTCACCCGTCAGCGGCGTCGCAACGCGCTCCTGATCCAAGGCCTAGCCCTCTCTCGGCGGTTCGCTACCTAAGTGCCAGAAGGACCCCTATTACCCACTGCCAGAAGAACTTCGGACGACGCGGTTGGCCTGCTGTCACGGTAGTGCTTGGGGCTCGGGACTTGGGCACAGGCAGGCCTGACGAGTTACGGACGGCGGCGTGCTACAGGGGGGGAGAGGGGGGGAGTCATGGAAGGTAAGTAGGCATGCGGCATGCTTTCACCCAGGACGGAATTAGCTATGACGGAGCATTTCTGCGGGTTATCTCGGCCTGGTAGCATCGAATTTGTTCAGCACACGTTCTACCTGCAGGTATGGCTTGGTGGATATATTCTTCAGCCGGGAAATAAGATTGGCATCCGATCGGGAAGGGTTGGTACTCCTTTTCTCTTGCTCTCCAGCTGTCGGATGCGTCCCCGCGAGAAAACTTCCTCTCGGCGGCTGCGTGGGCGTCGTTTATTTCCTCCCCGGGCGGCAATGTCTCGCCCTGACGTGCGCCAGGACGAGACCACAACACAACCAGAAAAGCCCATCCTGCCCAGGGCTTCTCTGCATGCCTAGGAGGCTCGTCAGGCAGCCAGGCGCGGACGGCGGCCGAGTCTTGGGCTTACGGATCCGATCAATAAAAGGCCCGAAACACTGTGCCCAAACTCGTAGCCCCTTTTCGCGGGCATCACCAAAAAAGAAGGTTATTTCTATAAATAGAAACTCCCCGGTAGTGCTTCGACTTCCGGGATAATTATCAACCACGAGGCCCAGGGCTGTGGTTCTGGACGGCCAAGGTACGACGGCGTGGAAATATGCACATCCGTATCGAGCTGCCTGTAAGGAAATGATATGTCACATAAATAATTAAAAGGATTATTCATCGTGGCTCTTCGCTTCCCTCTCGAACATTCCTAGGTACTTGGTATTATGCAGCCCTGGGACAGCCGGATCTATAATAGGACGAGTAATGCCGATCACAAGCAACATGTCGCATAGGTACATGCTGTTAACCCTGTCGGCAACGTGAATTAGGCGCCAAGTACCTACGAGGGGCGAGAGCGCGGTATTCGTTTGTAGAGACTTCCATGCTGCCTCTGCTATCCTTGATAGAGGTAGTCAGAGATGTAAAGACTAGGTGTGGCATGTGCTGCGTCCAAGCCGGATAGACTACATAATACCTACATTATCGGATACTGAAATAACCCAGTATGCCGGAAACCCGCGATCGAGATACTAAGACGCGAGGTGAAATTTCCTCGCGACAATGGGCCAGGGAGGGATAGCCCAACCTTGGGACTCAATAGCCTGAATTACTGTAGACCATTCCTGGTTGCCTTACTGGGCTTTCCTGGGCCAGGAACTCTTTTCGGAGCTTGTCACAACCATGCCATTTGCTGTATTAATTAGGTAGGCTTTCTAACCCCCCGAGTACCATCAAAACGACCGCGACATCAACGATCAAAAGATTCAATTGATTGATGAAAGGAAATCTATGAGTTCGAAAACGACTAATTCCTCTCGTTAAACACTTGTCTCAAGAGAAACCAACAAGAGCAATCAAAGTTCCAAGATAGCTTCAACGCGTGAAAAATCAGAGAAGACTGGGTCCGTGTGACTGGGAAGAGTCTGCCAGGACCCGATTGATACTGCGAGATGGTATTATCTGGCAGAGCTTAACATGAGTGGATTTCCACCTGAGTCTTAGTCTGATCCTTGAGGACTTCACCATCCATAATTCCGTGAACATAGCTAGAACCAACGAGATTGAAACAAAGTCTTGCGAGATGGTGGCAGCCTTCTCGACTTGGGTTTTGGTCGTCAGTATCCCGCAGGATATAAGGCAGTCCACTGCCTCGAAGCACATATACCTTGTCGCCAACGTTCATCCCCGGCGGTCCGATGCCCATGAGCCCCTGATCCGTGAGGAAAAAGCGAGTATCCCGGACGGTTAACGTAACAATCACTTCAAAATGCAAAATCCACTCGACCGGAACTCCCTCTCCCTGTGTTTCATCAGTAGCGATAATGTCCCACCAGTCGCGGCATAGTTCTCGGTCGTCCTCCGTGGATCGAACGTAACGCGGCGGCGGAAGGCCAAGCATACGCGTTAATTGTTGTTTCCCGTGTACCACATCCCCGCCTAGAGTATTTCGAAAGGCGTCCGACCGGGATTGGCCGTTCGTATAGGCTCCATCGAGAGCCAGCCCGTTCTCAGGGATCATTCTCTCCCATTCTCTTAGAGCGTTAATAAACGCGGCAGCATCGTTGATGTCGCATACAGGCCCCACTGATGTGACCTTGCCAACCATAAACCCATCCGTAAGGAGCTCGGAATTGCGGCACAAATTGGCCTTAGACAACTCGCCGCCTGCGCTGTATAGCGTAGGATCCCCATCCAGCTGCCGAAATCCACCATCTCTATCATCACCAACAGTCCAATCGTGAACCCACGACGGGAGATTCGGAATCGTAGATGGTCTCAGAACCCCTTGCAGAATATTTAAAGAGTTTGTCTCCTCTATGATATTCATCATGGTGTTGATATACACCTGTTTGGTTTCGATAGAGTAGTTGGGCTTCAAAGGAGCAGCTCGCGTCCACATCGACATTCCCAGAAGCGCGTTAACTTTATCCCGTGGGTCACCCGCTTGTCGTGTGCGGAATTCTCGAAGATGATCGGAGAGCTCCTGTCGGCTATAAACCTGCTCTAAACGAGTGATTTCCGATACCTTCATCATAAACCTTTTGAGTACTCTGAATTCGGGATCCCGGGCACTCGCCATGCTCTCTATACAGCAGAAGTTTGCATGGATGTTCAACCAGTATCGAGCGGAGCCTAGCAGTTCGAAAGGTATCATGATGTGATATATAACAATCCAGGATCCCTTGGCAAGGCAAGCTTCTTGGATGGTCCATACCCTGTCCCACCAGGCATTATCAACCCAGCGGGATAGGACCTGGAATGCTCCCTCAAATAAAGGTGCTATCTCAACATGATATCCCTTCCTCTCACAGCTTGGGCAGGATCCACAGGAACCGTATTCAAAAATTCCTGAATCCATTGGATGGCCAGCTTCTTTTAAGCCGCTGAGTATATCTAGGAACTTGATGGCGGATCGAGTGTTCTGAACTTCAGGGCTAGTAGGTCCGCCGAAGCGACTCGTGAGGGAGCCGAAGCTGTCGACTTCGTCGCTGGGTCCTGGGTAGTGGGTAGTTGGAGGGACGACGATATCGCCCTGCGGATTCACGACTCCGTTGTCGTTCGGGGTTCCCAGCCAGCAGAAAACTTGTTGAGCATTCGCATAGATTTGGTCCATCAGCGAGACTTGATGTTCTCGCTCTGGGATATCGTCTTGGTTGATACAGATGGCGTCGATCCAAAGAATTCGCTCCGTGTCGGTCTTTCGAAGATATTGAAGCGCAGTGTAGAGATTGAGAGTCACCGAGAAACCAACGCTTTCAAGTGTGATAGGCTGGAGGTTATCCCGGTCTCCCCATACGTAAGACAAAGCTACATATGTTGGGTTCTCATCCAAATGGTTGTGAGATAGACGACAGGATATGGGATTCGAAAGTTGACCCGGCAGCAAGTGTAGCAATCGAATATCTCGACGTGTGTGATCTAAAGGGAAGTGACGATACTTTCCCCCTGACATCTTGGACGCTCGTAACGAAAGCGACAATATCCTTGCTCTGCTTTGAAATGTGTTGAAGTGTAGGTATTCAAGAGATAACAAAGATTTCAGCATTCGACGTACTGCGTAATTAATATATAAATATTGACTTGATAAGATGCGGAGAAGAAAGTAGGCTGCAAGTCGGTGACGTTACGCTTTTAATGTTACGGTAGCAATGCAGAGACAACAAGGCGATACAATAATCTTCATTTCGAACACTCATCTGGTTGGCGAGCCTCGTGTAAGTACGTCAAGTAGAAGCCGGCGTCATTCGGAACGGGACAGGGCTTGTTCGTCGCTCTACATACAGGATGCCATTTTCGGGCCCCAAATCTTCCAGTCCTTGGAGCTGCCTATGCCACGTCGGCATCATTTAATATATGCAAGATAACCCAAAGGTTCCCTTCACCCTACGTGGATCTATCCGCCGAAACCAGAGACAGTACCCAACTTCAACCTAGAGGTGCTTAAATTCGAATCCGAGATAACCGTCGTAACGACCAGTCCTAGCCCCGACAATATCAACAGAACGGATCTCATTCGGCACAGGTACCCTCTCCCTTATCATACCGTAAGTTGAAGAGAGAACCCAGAGGAGCACAGCGTGGGTGGTTAGCGCGACCAATAGAGTTGCGGCTGAAAATAAGAGGAGTGGTGGATATTAATATCTAAATATCATAACTAGTTTCGACATTGCGCAGGAGTCAAGTTGGCTAATCTGGGAAGCTATGGATCCCTTAACTTCTAGTCACGGTATATCAGCTGCCCAATCTACGTTCCCGTTATGGGCCTGTCCGGACTCCGCTCGTGTTTTGTAGGTAGCTAACCCTCAGGTAGAGGGATTTTTCGACGCCAAGGCTCCGTTGGGAGTGCACGATTCTCACTTGTCATAAAGCCAATACTTTTCTCCTGGGTGAGACTCATTTCTCTTGCTGCATCGTATGGTGTCATAGAGTATGCGAAAGAGGGAGATGGGCCCCGTGAAGTTCTGTTACTGCCCGAATTCCAAATGATCCAGGTAAGTGCCGCATAAGCGCTAAGCCTCCCGTGAGGCAGGTAATTCCCCGATAGCGATAGTGACCAAAGCGTACAGCTGCCATGACCCTCCGAGCTCTAGCCAGCCCGCTCCGGGACCTCCTCGAGGGGCGTCACCTTCCTGACCACGCGGGCGGGCGTGCCCATGGCGACGCTCCAGGGCGGGACGTCCTTGGTGACGACGGCGCCGGCGGCGATGGTGCAGCCCTGGCCGACGGTGACGCCGGGGAGGACGACGACGTTGGCGCCGAGCCAGCAGTCGTCGCCGATGGCGATGGGCCTCGCGTACTCGATGTCGTCGCGGCGGCTCTGGACCTCGGTCTCGTGGGTGGCGGTGATGAGGGAGACGTTGGGCCCGAACAGCACGCGGTCGCCGACGGTGACGAGCGCGCAGTCCAGGATGGTCAGGTTGAAGTTGGCGTAGAACCGGTGCCCGAGCCGGATGTTGCACCCGTAGTCGACCGCGATCGACGGCTCGATGAAGACGCCGTCCCCGACGCGGCCGAAGAGCTGCCGTAGCAATTCCAGCCGCGCCGTCGCCAGGGTCCCGAAGTCGGCCTCCGGGTCGTCCGGGAAGTAGCTGTTGTACTTGTGCATCCAAGCGCGGGCCCTGAAGCGCGCCTTCGACAGCGCGGGATCTAGAGCGTTGTACCTAGCGGGTGGGCATTCGGGGTCAGAGCGCCTCCTCTAGGATGCGAGATCTCTTGATGCTCGATTCTCGGAGACCCCGTGGCGTGGGCGGCGGCGGGGAGCACTCACAGCATCCCCGATATCATCTTGTCGTATTCTTCCGACCGTGGCACGTGGGCTAGGCTAGCCGCCTTCTCCAGCTCGGCGGGGTTCTTTTCCGAAGCCGCCATGCTTTCTATCTCCCGCCCGGTCCCGGATTCAGCCGGGCTTTAGGCCCTATAGGATTTCTGGCGGCGAACGGCGAATAAACACTGTAGCATCGACGGCACAGGATCGCCTTGGCGGGCCTGGGAAAGGGGAAGAGGAGATGGAGGGAGGGACTCACCACCAGAGGAAGCGCCGGTGCTAAATAACTAGCGAATAGCGACGGGATAGCCACTCGACAGCAGTGGCTCTTTTTATCGCAGGTGCACGCGTCCAGGAGGCGCACTCGGCGTAAGCACACGATCCGAATAGTTGCGTCCAGCGAAGGAAGACGCAGAAGACGGTGCCCGACTTATCGACGAGCGCAACAAGACCCCACGATCGTGTGGCTTATAGTGGCTGGTGTCTGGTGGCCAGTGGCTCAGCATTACTTCAAGTAGGTGGTAAATCTTTTGTGGTGTGGGGCGCTAAGGAACAGGGGGTAATTTTGTACCCTCTACCTCTAAGACTTCTGAGGTTCCCTGTAAGTCGTCAACCTCTAACTGGATTAAGCGATAAGCCCGCTCTATACTGAGCTTTGCCCTTGCTCCTTACAAGGGGCACCAGAATGTCCTCTTGAATAGATTTTCAATCACTGTAATAACGGGTATGTGACTGATTGCTTTTCTAAATCAAATATTGTCCTAGAAGTGCATCGTACGCCGAAATGGTGAGTGGTGGTGCAGTGGTGGTAGCGGGGTCCCGCTGTGACAGGGGCTTGAGAGGACAGTGGGTACAAAATTACCCCTCTGTTCCTTGACGCCCCACATCACAAAAGATTTACCACCTATCACTGAGTTACCCTTGGTACCCAGGTACCTCGCATTCGATAGATGAGGGGCAGAATCGGAAATGTTAGAAGCTGCCGGCAGTCTGCCAGCTGTCGGTCAGCCCAGGTCAGGGCGCCCGGCGATAGTAACTCGTTGTCTACCCTACATATAGGCATGTGTATTCCTAGGTTACAGAGTCTCTTTATAACACCTACCTATCTATCATGCCCATCAATACAGGCCTATGAGTACAGCACCGAACAAGGGAATACAGGTCTCTGCATTTTCCTATGCCGGTATTTTAAGGATAACAGAAGCCAACCTAACACCATTCATGATTAATTTATAATCAGCGTCGTCATTATAGTTGCCATCATCGTACGTGGTTGGCGCCAGCAGGGATTGAGTCTCCGATAGTAGAGTATTGAGAAAGACGGCAACGCATGCTTATACCTACGCAGGGAACATCGCAGATTGGCGCCTGCACATCCCACGAAATCCGGCTTGTTGACGATGCTCGGACCTATTGTCGCAATTAGCATGGATGTTTCACGGCATTGCGAAAAAAACAAGAAGAAAAAAAACCGGCAGAACGTAAGCAGGCAATACGTGAGTCCAGCTCGGTCTACCGGGGATCGCAGGAACGGGGGCGTGCTAGTGTAGTCGGGAATGGAGACGACGCGACCCCGCTATCTCGCCCTGCCTCGTGTCGCAACATGCTGGAGACCAGAGTTAAAGACGTGCTTTCGTGCTCTTGCTGAGATTGGTTGACTTTCTAGGTATAATCCCCTCCAGAAGCGGAAATGAAGAGAAGAAACGGTCTAGGTCTGGCCACAACCGGAACTACCCGAGACACTGTTGCGAGAGGCAGAAGAATGGCCAATTTCAGGGGCGCCATGACGTGCTCGTGGTCGACGCCGCTGCACAACTCTCGGCGGGCGAATCAGCGCGGCCGCGCCTCCGGTCGGTGCGGACACGGCTTATCTGCAAAGCGAAAAAGGCACGCGTTTTTGCTCAGGTAAGACGCCATTTACCAGGGATGCGGAATCCGACGCTGCGAGACCGACTCACCGAGAGGGACTACTTAGCTGATCGCCGCGTCCGCTGAGCCCTCGCCTTGCTGATAAACCGCTGGCCACGCTCGTAATTCCCTTACCCGTCCCCCCGGGAGAGAGCACCAAGTCGACCTCGAGTAACTAGTTTATCCGCGCAGAGTAATCACCATGGCAGATACGGCGCAGATTCCGCCGGAGAGCTCACCGGCCCCTGGGCCCGACAACAAGCCTGTGGAAGGTGAGCGACAGACGCGGCCCCCTTTCTCGAGACCGGCGTGGTTTACTAATAGCCGCTAATAGTGAAATGGTATCGATCGGTGCTGTACAATGCCACCATCCTCGGGCTGTGTAGCTTCGCCGCCCCGGGCCTATGGGGAGCCATGAATTCTCTCGGTGCCGGCGGCTCCCAGTCGCCCTACCTGGTCAACACCGGCAATGCGCTGACCTTCTGCCTCATGGTGGTCTCCTGCTGGCTGACTAGCGGCATCGTCAAGTACATCGGCATCAAGGGAGCGCTCTTCGTGGGGACCATCGGCTACGCCCCGTACAGCGCAGGGCTCTACCTCAACAACCGGTACGGGGTCCAGTGGCTCGTCATCGTCGGCGCCGCCCTCTGCGGTATCTCGGCAGGGATATTCTGGGCTGCCGAGGCCGCCATTGCCATTGCCTACCCCGAGCCGCGAAACCGCTCGAGGATGGTGGCGTACTGGCTGACGTACACCCGAGTCGGCCAGATCTTGGGCGGCGCCGTCAACCTAGGCTTAAATGTGGATCGCAATGAAGCCGGCAAGGTCTCCCACACGGTGTATCTCATATTTATAGCTCTCCAGGCTAGCGGGACTCTGATCGCCCTGCTCATAAATCGCCCATCCCAGGTCCAGCGCGCGAACGGCGTTCCGGTCCAACTTAGCACCTTCGATAACCCCTGGAAGGAGTTCAAGGCTACGACGAGAACGTTTTTCGACAGGAGATTCCTGCTCATCGTCCTGTGGATCGGCCAGGGTGTGTACTCCGAGGCCGTCTTCTTCACGTATAATGCGCTCTGGTTCAGCGTGCGCGCCCGGGCTCTGGGCTCCTTCGTATCCGGGATCGTCGCGGTCATCTGCGGAAATCTCCTCGGCGTGTGGCTAGACCAGAACCAGATAGCCCTGAGGAAACGGTCGCGATGGGCATTTCTAGTCATCCTGACGCTGCAGGGCGCTTGGTGGCTGTGGCTCACCGTCAACGTCACCGAGTACCAACGGACGCAGCCCACCTTCGACTGGGTCGATCCCGGTTTCGGGAGAGCCTTCGGGGTCTTCGTCTTCCTCGTCATCGGATTCCAGCTTAACTACAACTTCTCCTACTTCATAATCGGACAGCTCTCCTCGAGCCCGCAGGAGATCATCAGATTTTCCGCCCTCCTGCGGGGCACCGAGTCGGCCTGGCAGGCAGTCAGCTACGGGTTGAACGCCATCCCGATCATCGCTGCGGTAGGCGGCCCCTATATCAACTTTGGCTTGTGGGGGATCTCGGTCTTTCCCGCGTGGCTAGTCATCAAGGAATTCGGTGTCAGCAAAGACGACCTCAGTCTCGAGGGCCAGGCTGAGGAAGTCGGAGGAGAAGAATCTAGTAAGACTAAGGAATAAGCCGTGTAATCAGTCTCTTCAAAGGAAGGGTACGGGAGGCCTGTCAGAGCACGTTTCCCAGGGGATACACCCAGTACCACGCATTTCTCGCACCCCGGAATCTCCATGTAGATGCATAGATCGATAGCTAGAATCGCCGGATTTCCGCTAGTGAATAGCCCAAGTTTTTAGTCTATGAGTAGTTTACAGCAGACGGTTGAAGTTCGGGACCCCTGGTGGTTGATGCCATCACCACCCATCCGCACGCCATCGACGAGGTAACCTCTCCGGGCCAATCTATCTGTCGACTCGATATCGGCTCCCCCTCCCGCTTGATATCGGCTACCCCTCCCATAGGAAGAATGTACGCGCACGCCATATTAGTCGGTAGACTCTGATCGCAACCACGTGGGGGTTATAAATGGCCGCATGGTCGAGCGTATCGACACTGGGGGTGAAGATACACGAGGGGATTGTCGTGTCAGAAGAAAAGAGACGAACAGGATACCAGCGACAGGCTACCTGGCAAAATGTCCGCTAACCTCGAAGCGCTGAAACACATTTCGGAGGACTCCGGGTTCCCTATTACGATCCACCCGAACTTCTCCCCCAGGATCAAGGACCATGTACCGCCGGAGCCGGTGCGGGAGCAACTCTTCCCGGACAAGGACCGAGCCACCTTCGCGGATCCGGAGAAGAAGGCTCTCTTCGCCGTCGCGAAGGCCACGGACCTGACGGAGTCGATCGGCACGGTGCTGGAGGGCGTGCAGCTGTCGCAGCTGACGCCGCAGCAGCTCGACGAGCTGGCGCTGCTCGTCAACGAGCGCGGCGTCGTCTTCTTCCGGGGCCAGGACCTGACGACGGAGCAGCAGGTGCGGCTGTTCGAGCACTACGGGACGCTGGACCGGCACCCGGCGCAGAAGGACGTGCGGCACGTGGTGATCCACGGCAGCAGGGAGGACCACCGCGAGGTGCTCAAGTACACGCCGTGGCCGCTGGGCGACTGGCACGCCGACACGTCGTTCGAGATCAACCCGCCGTCGTACTCGCTGCTGCGCATGGAGGAGCACCCGGCCGTCGGCGGCGACACCGCCTGGGTCTCGGGCTACGGGCTCTACGACACGCTCAGCGCCGCGCTGCGCCGCTTCGTCGAGGGCCTGCACGCCGTGCACACCTCGCGCCTGCAGTACGACACCATCCTCGACCTGTGGGGGGTCGGCCCGAACCGGCCGCCGGTCGACTCGCACCACCCCGCCGTGCGGACCCACCCCGTCACCGGCCTCAAGGCGCTCAACATCAACACGGGCTTCGTCACCGGCTTCGCCGAGCTCAAGAAGCACGAGTCCGACAAGCTCCTCGACTTCTTCGCCTACCACATCCACTCCGCCGACGACCACTCCGTGCGCTGGAAGTGGGAGGTCGGCAGCGTCGCCATGTGGGACAACAGGTAGGTAATAATGAGGGTCTAGCGACCTACCCCCTCCGGGGCTGAGGTTCTGTGTGCTAACTGCGTGCGCCGACAGGTGCGTGCTGCATCGGGTCATCCCCGGCGGGTACGAGGGGCCGCGGCGCGGCATCCGCACGACCGTGTTCGGCGAGAAGCGTAAGTGGAAGGGGGATGGCATCCCTTTGCGCCAGCCTCTCCGTTCTCCAAACTAACGACGATGTGTGACGGGCAGCATACTACGACCCGAACAGCGAGAGCAGAGCGGAACGCCAGCGCAGGCTCAAGGCAGAGGCAGCGGCGCCGGCGGCCAACGGAGAGGCCAACGGGCACAGTGCTGTCAAGGAGGACCCTATCAGCGCACCCGCATAAAGGTTGAACACGGGGGTGTGCGCATTGCTGAAAAAGGGGGCCCGTACGGTGAAGGACTGGGAGCAGCGCACAAGCCTCCAGCAATATTACGTGCTAGGCATAGGAAATATAGTCAGGGTGTATGAATGGCATGTTAAGGACTGTTTCTATTACCTTTTGGTTGCCTTGACCCTCCCGTTGGCGTGACACAGCCGATTTTCGCAGGCTATTGGATCCGAAGGACATAGACGTAGACAACGCCGTTGCCACTAGTCATGGATTTATTACGACTTTGCCTTGCGGGATGTTCTGTAATAACATGGTGATATTCCAGTTCCCGTCAACCAGTACCAACAGACACCCTGCCACTCCGCCACGGGCGACCTTCTCACGACCCGCTAGGGAATGCTCGCGTGATGGCTGTTGGCCGCTAGCGTCAGCGGTGACTTCGTGAGAGAAAAGTTGAGAGGCCACATTGATCAAATCAGGGCCGCTTTAGGCGCGCAAAGTTGGGAAGCCCCGAGATAACCGTCCCAGCGGCGACCTATTACTGTTTGGGAATTGGCGGCCTAGCTCCTGGACGTCTCAATTGTTGGCCGCAAATTCGTCACATTGGCGCTTCCGAACGCCGTTGGCCCGCATCATGGAAGCGCCGGGCACTGCCATGATTGTTGGTTCTTAATATGTATCTAGAATAGGCACACTGGGCTGACTTGGGTTTACGATAGGGTCCATATGTGCCGTTTAGATTTCGTGTATAAATATGGAGTGACCCAGCCTGACGTCCTGTTTCTTCCCATAGCACTCTCATTCTTCAGACACCTCAGTTACTATCGTTCAATCATATATTATCCGTACTCTATTTCTCGATCATCTCTTTTCAGAATGGGAAAGAAACGACCCGCTCCGCCCCCAACCCCTTCTTGGGTGCCTGCCCCCCCGGAGGGATCTTCATTACCGGATCGCGGTTATTTTATTTCAGGAGATAGTGTCTGGTTCTACAATAGTAAGACGAGCTTAACGTTGTTCCATGGAGATTGCTGATATAGAGTCGTAGACAGCACCGGCAATTGGGAGAGTGGCAGAGTTTCGGAAGTTAGGGGGATCAGCGGCAGTACACTGCTCCCATTTGTTAGCAGTACCTCATTTCTTCCTTAGCTTGATCGGAACCATTAACCATTCGCAGATTGACGTTGATGCAACTGGGGAAACCATCCAGATTGGAGCGGAATTTGTGCGGCTTCAAGGCTGATGTCGTCTTATTGGCTATGGAGATCTTGTGGGCCAATGAGTCAGCTCCTCCGGGCGGTTGACACAACGGTTGGAAGATGTGTATGTCGAATTGGTTATAGTAGATGATGATGGGAGACATGGGGCCGTAGCGCCTAGGTCGTCGCAGTGGTCGTACCAACCTCATTCGTTTAGAGCTACCTATATTGAGTCTTATTAGACCACGTGAGATCTTCCATTAACATTGACACCTTGTGAAACCGACGGCACGAGTTAGTTGCCAAGGGAGAGCAGCACCATGCCACTTAAACTGCTTTCCCGGATATTATTACTACTGAAAATTGCTCCCCATGCACGAGCAATACCGTCTAGATCTGGGAACCGGCTAGCTTGGCTCTGACCTGGCCAGTGGCTCTTAATTGGCCGATTGTACTGTATGTCTCTTCCCAGCTCTGCTTTGCTACCCTAATCCGACACGCCTTTATCAAGGCACGAAAAGCAATCTATACAGAGTCAACTTGCCCCAAAGCATCCCCAATCCATCGCCACAGCCTCTTATCTGCCACGAAACCTGGGTTCATTTCCGACATCAGTGTCAACTTTCTTGCGACGGCAAGGCTGTTCGACTTTTTTTTTTTTTCGAGGCGAAATGCTGCTTCTTCTCTTTCCTTTACTTCTTCTTCCGATGCGTCATCCTCGCGTAGCTTGGCAAAAAGTTGCTTGTTACCCTCCTGCTGAGCCTGCTCGTGGAAGAGCCGAGCGTAATCCACCGAGCCTACCGCCCCTTCATCCTCTATCTCGTACACGAGTTCGTACAATGTTTTGAAGAGATTATAATCCTGCTTGGAAAGTAGACGAACTAGCCGAGAAAAATACCACATCCTGTCGGCTTTCTTCCAGACGTCTGGATCGATCTTTGGGACTCCTAGGTTGAAGCATGACCTAAAGGCAGTAATTTGTGACCTCGATGGTGGCGATGCTGACCCTGCTAGTCCTGGGGTAGTGAGCAACTCAGTGATAGGACCAGATGTCGCAGAACCCCAATCAATGATACAAGTGATATTGAGATCTTCGTCAACGAATATATTGCCAGAATGAAGATCTGGGTGAGAAAGGGTGAAACCGCCATTTGCCGTAGAAGAAAGGTGAGGGATCATGTTGTGCAGGAACTGGCCTGCAATACAGTACGAAAGCCGGTTTTTGCTACTCTCTATCTTGTTGCCGATTGCTACGAAGTCATTCCATCGTCTTGCAGCAGCTCTATAGCTATCCCAAGTGGGATAATCGAGAGAGTCGGGAATCGGTGCAAAAAAGGTATGTGGTGTCAGGTAAAGCTCTTTGGCATGAGAGGTGAATGCTGAGATAAGAGAGTTCAAGTACTGGCCTTCTTCAGAGAAGGGGCCTCGATCTATTGCTTCTTCGATCGAGTCTCTCCATTGCCAGAGAAGTGACGGGGAGAGGCATTCCCCGATGGAAAAGTTACCATGACGGTCTTCAAAGATTGACCCGATCTGTTCAAAGCGAATCTCTGATAGGCGAGACATGATAGCGCCGAGCTGACGCATGATATTCTGTCGGTCGTGATCCGAAAGGGGGAGGAGTGGCCAAGGCAATTTATATCCCGATGGTTCACGGGAACAATCGGCCCAGTCGTAATCTGATAGGGCACGACCAGAAGCCTTGCTCTGCAGAATATACGGAACCCCAACATCGTTGTCCTTGGAGCCACTATGATGGTCGGTAACCAGAAAGCTGTATTAATGCAGGCCCTGCTTACCTATAAGAGTAAACTTCCGGAACAGGAATGGAGCAATGAGCTCTCAGGTATTTCAAAGTGGATGCTTCGCTCACTAGCATCTTGGAGGCAGTTTCGTCGGTGAGGATCGTAGACGGACCGGTGCGCGGGGAACGAAACACCCAGTCAATTCCATCATCAAATGAGACAAAAATGACCCAGTTCAGGCTGCCAGCTTTGGGTGGCTTTGACACGTCGCAGGTGCATGGTCGGCCCCGAAGCTTTTCGGCAAGGGCAAGAAGAGCGTCGACATTGAATTTGGCATAGCAGAAGATCTTTTCCTGCATGGTTGCACGGGGTATGGGCGAGTTGATAGTGTGGACGTACGTAAGGTAGATAGATGATGAGGAAGAAGGAATGAGAAGCAATTCAAATGAAATAGTAAGTAGTACTCATCCGGCGAGCGGGGTTGTCCAGACGCTTGTTAGGCCAGTCCAGCACGGCCCACTTCCGTTGTAGGTACTACACGTACGCGACCTAGGAATACATAGGTAGTTCAGCGTGGAAGGGCAAATGGCGCGATACGATCGCTGAAGAGTCAGATTCGGGCGGTGCTCCTGTTCGCAAGGAATCCCAAGGGTTAAATCGGATTTGTAGATGCCTAGCTGCTCAGAGTGACAAGACACGCCTCGCTCAGGCGTCGGTCTAGTTACCGGTGTCGTCTAGTCCGCTTTCCCCTGCCTCAGCGGATTCACGAGCGGATGTTGGTTGGGGAGGTGAGAACAGGCGTGCGATGAGCGAACACACGCCTCCTCGTGAGCCGTGTTGGTACCGCGTCCCCTTGGCCTGGCATACGGCACAGCCGCGCCCCCTCGTAATGGGCTGCGCCCTAGTCCAGACGACGACCGCTTCCACTGGCCCTCGGTCGTGCCTGTTGGCAGCTCTTCTGCTGCGGTTGGTTGCGCTAATATCACCAACAGGCATAGAAGTGTCTCAGAGCTGGGCCCGATACCCAAGCGCGGTGTGCCTTGTCACCAAGCCAAGAAGCTCTGTCCTGACGCTACATGTCCGGGTTCCATTCAGGCAGCCATATGATCGCCATGGTATCCATCCAACCTGTCCTCTTCCCCGGCTGTCGAGAAACATCTTGCACCAACGCCGAGCGGGTCTCAAAGGCAGTTAGGTAGGCGGATCTTGGACGCGTCGAAAGCCGCGATTATTCAAACGGAGAGGTATAGACTATTTATTATTAAGTTACCTATCTAAAACGCCCGCTAGTGTAAAAGCTTGATGTACGTACCTACGCGGAGGCTGTAAAAAGAAGCCTGGTTGCGTAAAGAGGATTAGGCAGGAAGACTTTATGCAGGTAGGTAGGTGCCTAGGTACTTAAGACGGGTGCCTAATGTTGCCAGGACATTGGGATCCACTAGGTAAGCACCTCCGTACAGGCAGGTACCTAAATTTTAGCGCTCTAACAAACTTGGATTAGGTATTTGCTACCTAGGCAATCATCCCCCTGGCCATAGGGGCCACCCACGCTGATAAGATAGGTACGTCCACGCTGATTAAACACTGGCGGACTAATATAACTGACACCATCAACACAAGCCAACTTCTACTCAATCCATCCCCAACACCACATGCCCGCACACGTATGCGGGTAGTGCCGTGGACAAAAAGAGCCCCAGACCGTGCCGCTGCCATGGACGACGAAGCTGCAAGGTTGCGAGCTTTGATTCAACGGGCCGACGGCACAGTTAAACGCGAAAGCGATGAAGACAGCGAGGACCAACACCCTTCGGCGCCTCCCCCCTCTGTTCGTCGGTCTAAACGCGCCCGCGGGAACGTCTCGACGACGGGCACAGCCAGCCAATAAGAGGGACAAGGGCAACGTAACAGAGGCAAAGCTCCAGCAGGCCAGAAACAGCGCGTACTGACGAATGTGGATATAATGGACCGGCCATATTGCACCCTGTCACGTAAAACGTAGACGCCTACGATACGCTTTTGCGGTATGCAGGCATACAAGGGCTGGTTCAATTGGTATGTGACACACCCAGAAATTCCTTCTAGGCCTAGCAAACGGGGGTCCTATGGGTCGGAAATGTCCCAACGTCGCCGACCATGGACATCGACATCTCGATCGGCTGGAATTCCTACGGCTTGCCCGTGCCCAGCTCGCCCAAGACCGCGGCCCCGACGCCGACGCCACGCCGCTTTATCTATCCGGAGCTATAGGGTCGCTCTTCAAAGTGCGCCTATCGACCTATGGCTATACTCTCGTAGCTAAAGGCGTGGAGCAATGATACCTTACCCGCCTACAGCACGAGAGCAAGATATACGAACGGCTTCGTCTTATCCAAGGAAAACATGTCCCGGTGTGCCTCGGGATGGCTGACCTGATCCTGCCGTATTATTTTAACGGCGCCGTTAATGAATACTATTACGTAGATCGGGAGAGCTACGTAGGCACTGAGGTTGCTCTGCGGGGAGCAACGGAATGTACTCTACGACATACACAGCGGAAACCCTATGATTGTGGACTTGGAACGGTCAGTCGTTCACGAGCGCCAGCCGCTCGGCTCTGTCGGTCCCAATCGGAAGAGGAAGCACGATACTCGAGGGAGGAAAACCAGCAACGACTTCGTGGTCGAAAGCCAGTCTATCATAGCAAGCATCCAGCGCTGTCTAGAATAGCCTCGTGATGCGAACGTGTCACGTAGTAATTGAACCAGCCCTTATATGCCTACATACGGCAAAGCGTATCGTAGGCGTCCACGTTTTACGTGACAGAACGCGTATAACCCGATTCGTATCATTGGTAATGGTCTCTCCTACCTATAATTGCTTTGCTTCTCATGGCAACCCCTCGTCAAGTTATCGTTTCGGCGTTGTTTTTAGCGCTCCTGGCCAATTCCTCCTGCGCTATCGCGTCCTCGTATGTGTCATACTTGTATCGGAAACCCGGGTGATCGGCCCTGAGGTGCACCTGACCCTTTCCGTAGATCTGCTCCCTGAAGGTCGGTGTCGATGGCAACCCGTCCGCGCCGTGATCGGGGATCTCGGGCGGGTACCTGCCACGGCGGCGGAGCTCGGGGACGAGGTAGTTGACGGCATCCTCAAAGCTGCCAGGGGTGACGACGTACCCAAGGTTGAAGCCGTCAATGTCGGCGACATCGATCCAGCGCTCCAGCTCGTCGGCGACCTCGGCGGCGGTGCCGACGGGCATGGCGCCCATGCCGCCGATGGCGCTGACGACGCCGAGGTTACGCGGCGTGAGGCGCGGGACGTCGTCGCCCTGGTAGCGCAGGTTGCCGACGGCCGAGTGAACACGCGCGATGGCGGAGATGTCGTGCTCGGTGAGCTCGCGGTCGAGGTCGAAGCGCGACACGTCGACGCCCGTTGTCGCGCTGAACTGCGCGAGCCCGCCCTCGACCAGCACGTACCGCAGCGCGTCTTCGTACTTGCGCCGCGCGTCGTCCGCGTCCGCCCCGATGATCGGCGTGATCATCGCGAACACCTTGATCGATGCCGGGTCTCGCCCCGCCGCCGCCGCCGCCTCCCGGATCGCCTTGACGCGCGGGGCCAGGATGTGCGGCGATAGCCCCGATACGAAGATGCCCTCGGCGTGCGTCGCGCCGAACTTGATCCCCGCTCTAGACACGCAAATTAAGAATTCGTACTTGCAAAGGCAGGGAGGAACGAAGGGCTTGTAAGTTATCAATGCTCACGGTGATGTGCCTGCTTGGAATAATACCGGCGTCCGTTGCGGCGAGGGGTCGACGATATGGGGGGCGTCTACGCGGAACTTTTCACCGTGATGGTGAATACTCCTGACCTGCTTATAATCCGTGTAAACGCCGCTCTCTGCGTCTTCGAGCAGAGCCGTGTCCGACCACGAACCCTCCCAAAGCCTAACCAGGTATTATTAGCAACGCGAGGCCATTATCATGCACGGGAAGTCATTGGCCTACTTATACAGGACCCGCAGATACTCATCCGCAATCTCGTAGCGTTTGTCGTGTTCGACATATGGGAGCCCGACCTTGCAAGAATTAGCTAGGGAGTTCTACAAGGCGGAGCATAGCCGCTCACCGCTCTCGATGCCGACTCCTTCCAGCTCGTCACAATATTCCAGCCGAAACGACCTTTGGTCAGATGGTCGAGGGTGCTGAAGCGTTTCGCCACTACGTAGGGCTGTTCATACGAAGTCGAAGTCGTCACGGCGAATCCGAGTCTCTTGGTGACTGCGGCCATGGCCGACACCGGCTGGTCAAATCGTCAGGCACACAGCGATAGACCGCTTCCATCGTCCTGGCCATCGTGCGAGCAAGATTCAACATACAATTACGGGGTCAGCCATCGGCCACTGGCTTCCCGTCCGGATAGCAGGCTCGGGACTGCCTTTATATCTTCAGCGCCGCAGCATCGTTAGCAGCACGCTACCTGGCGAGAGGCGTCGATCGACTCACGTATCATAGACGCCGTACGTATCCGCAAGAAAAAGCGATAAGAAGCCCCCTTTCTCAAGGAGTTTCGCGAGGTCTGTCCAATATGACAAGTCCCGGCGCTTATCCTTGGCCCGGTCCGTGGGGTTCCTCCATTGGCCAAAGGAGAGGTGGCCAACTGTGAACATATCAAACCCATTGAGAACGATTTGTTTCTTTGTGGTTCCGTTCGATGGAATCTCTTGATTTGCTTCTGACGATGCCATGGCGAACGACAGGCCACTCAAACCATTCGAATGTTTAGATCAAACACCGCGTCGTGGATAATACGCCGACATAACTCTTATATTTTAATTCATGATATCAACTCTATCTTGGATGGATCTTATAATCCCGTTTCGTTGTGCCAGCCTTGACGGTACACAATTGCGACGTTCTCTCCGTGGTGACAATCCGGGGTCCGATTTCGCCATTCTCTTATCTTCGTCCTCTCCCGCACCAGGACGCGATGGGACGCATAGAAATGTTGTCGAACTTGTTGGCATCGACTCCTCGTCCAGAACGTATCATGAGCTTCAAAATGCCGGATTCATTACTCCGTCAGATATGCAAGACGAACTCGTCACACGTAACCCCGCGCTGTCGCCATATTCTGCAGACAGCATGCCATCAGCCCAAAGCGTGCCGATCCAACGCATGAGCGGGGGCGATGATCTCTCTCGTATCAAGCACGCCACCGCGCCGCAGGCCAAAGGCGACCACACGAACGCCGAAGAAGACAGCCGGTTATCGGAACACCGACCAGGGCCCTTGCCAGGCCGAAAAGCCGCCGGACCGCGAATCTTGCTATAATTATTGAGTTGTCGCGGCTCTACGAGACCCAATGGCCGCAATGTGCAATTTGCGAGGTCGCATTTTTGTGAGGCTCCAGCATGACTTCCTCTTCGGCATCTGTGGCGGACGTCGCCGCGAGCGAAGATGCAACCCCGAAGGCCGGAAGGGATGCCCACGCGACAATTGCCCGAGCCGGCGAGGCGAGCCTGCGTGACGACGCGGAGGCGAAGTCGAGGTTCCTGGCGACCTTTTCCGCCGAAGAGGAACGGAGCATCATGAAGAAGGTGGACCAGCACTTCTTCGTGCTCATCGGCCTCATGTACATGATCAAACAGGTCAGCCGCAACTAACCGAAAGGGTGGGGAGGAGGGTTGTCTTTCGGACATCGCTAACATCCAGCAGATCGACGTCAACAATGCAGCCAATGTCAAGGTCCTGCAAGTTGGCGAGCCGACTAATATCATCGCCGAGTTGAACATGACGGCAGACCAGTATAACTGGGTGCAATCCATCTACGGCGTATGGCTCGACTGGCACATGCCATTTCGACGTGCGGATACCGCGGCTAACCTCGGACAGATCGCCTACATTCTCTTCGAGGCGCCCAGCAACCTGATCCTGAAGAAGATGAGCCCGCACGCGTGGCAAGCTCGGATCTTTTTGTGCTGGGGCATCATCGTCGCCGGCCACGCTGCGGTCCAAAATCGCCACGCGCTATACGCGCTGCGATTTCTCCTCGGGTAAGACGGCCCCTTTACCGGAGACGAATATTCGTTGATGTGATATCAGGCTGACGTTCTGCCGCCGGTTAGCATGTTCGAGGCTGGGATGTTCCCCGGGGTCATGGCACAGCTGTCGGCCTGGTACCGGACCGACGAGATGGGCAAGCCGGTGGCTTGGTTCTTCACCATCCAAACGTTTTCCAACATCGTCGGGTCTCTGCTCTGCTACGGCATCAGCTACATGAACGGGGCGCGGGGCCTCAGTGCGTGGCGCTGGTAAGCAAGCACCCCAGCGGCGCCCAGGATAAAATAGAAAAAGGGGGGCTCGGCGTTCGGCTAACGTGTCCGGAAAGGGTTTACCTCATCGAGGGGGTCATCACCATCTTCTTCGCTGGCGCCGTCTTCGCCCTCTTGCCAGACTACCCCAAGTCGCCGAGGAGCAACCGGTGGCTTACCGAGCGAGAACAGGAGTTCATCGAGGTGCGGCTGCCGGAGCACGCCCCGATGACGAGCGACCCGTTCTTCTCCAAGAAGGAAGTAATCGCGACGCTCAAGTCGCCCCTTATCTGGTCGTTCATGCTCTCGCAGATGCTGGTCAACTTTGGGAATTACGCGTTGACTTGGTATCTCCCAACCATTGTCACGAACCTGGGTAAGCCCCGTTTATCGTCCCTTTTTTTGGTTGTAGGTCGACGGCTGACGCTGCTTGCAATGCTAAGGCTTCGCAACGCTTCCGAAGAATCAGCTCCTCAACATCCCCCCGGCCGTGGCGGCGATCATCGCGCTCATCTTCTCGGCGTGGTTTATCAGCAAGGCCTACATCGTGCGGCCGCTTTACATCATGTACGTAACCACGCCCCGGACGAGAGCCAGCGCAGCGCTAACTGGCTCGCGGCGAGCACAGGTTCATCCTGACGGGGATGGTGATCTGCTTCGTGCTGTTCTTCACGATCAGCTCGCGGGTGGGGCTGTACGTGGCGTGCATCCTGGGGACGATGTTCACGCAGGCGTACTTCATCCCGTTCTGGGCGTGGCGGTCGGCGACGCTGCGGGGGTCGACGGGGACGGCGTTCGCGCTGGGGCTGCAGAACGCGGTGGGGCAGGTGGGCACGGTGACGGCGCCGCAGCTGTTCCAGCAGCGCTGGGCGGCGAGCGGCTACAAGCCGTCGTTCGCCATCGCGGCCGGCGGCACCGTGGCCGCGTTCGTGGCCAACCTCGGCACGTGGTGGCTCACGCGCGCGACCGAGCGCGACGTCCGCCGCGTCCGCCGCCTCATCCGCGCCGCCCGCCGCGACGGCCGCGTCTTCCACGGGCCCGACGTCGCCGCCCGCGAGGACCCCCGGCTGTTCGGCCGCGCGCCCAAGCGTGGCGGCGACGAGGATGTTCGCGTCATCGAGGTGTAGACGCGGGCGCACGACGGGCGGGGCGGCCGGGAAAGAGGGTCGGGGCGTCAGACCGAGCCTGGTACCGTTACCTAACTCGTCCGACTGAATGAAAGCCGCGGTGTTGTAACTACCGCAGTGCGCCGAGAAGAATTGTGTACAAGAACAGGTGCCGCACATGTTTAGCTGTATGAGGCACAAGTGACGATACCCCGCTATAGGTTGCAGGTACTTCGTAGCAGGTTGTTATCTGCCGCTCGTGCTGAGTTGCGAGACGCTGTGTCGCCCTGCATCGCGACCGATTCGTATCACAAAATGGTTATGACAACTGACTGATAATATCGTACGGTTTCTGGGTCCCAGCTTGGCCGGAGTTAGCAAACATTCATCGAATGCGCAAATGTGCCTGTGAGCTCCGATGAAGTGTCTCTTCTCCACGATTAGCAAACCTGCTTCTGGTGGAACGTCCTCCTTCTCGCTCCCCAGCTACGCGAACCCAACTGTCCGACCCTTCTTTGAGAGAAGGAATTCATTTCTACCACTTGAACTTCGTCTCTTGGGTACTGGTAGGCAGACGACTGCCGGGGGAAGGGGGGGGACGCAGTTTTGCGAGACATCTGCGACGGTATATAGCACTAGTACACTGGTAGGCAAGATGTCGAGTTGTCTACGTAGCATTATATACATCGGTGTGCGAAGGAACCGCCCGCGCCGGCGGGGCATGGGACTCGGCCGGCGGCTCGGCTGTCGGGACCGGTGGAGGGGGAGCTGGCGGGGAATATGCAGTCGATCGCCGTGGACGTGCGAGGCATCGACATCGGATATCCTTGGGCGCGCGAGACGGGGACGGAGAAAGGGTGCTCACCACGTCTCGACTTCCGATATAAGTTTTTTTTTTTTTAACTCCTAGCGCGACTTTGGCAAAATTCTTCTGGCTTGGCTGCCGTGCCAGTCCAGACCGGCCGGCCGTCTTACAGCACACAGGCACAGCAGCGCTAAGAGCGTGGCACATGGATTGCGTCGTCGCACTCCCATCCCTACCGTCGATGCGCAGCTGGCGCGTTGCGCGGGCTGCAGGCGTTATGCATGTCTCTCTTTGTAGGCACCCAGGTATGTGGCTGCGGTGCTCGCGTAACGGCCCAAGTTGGTCCAGTTGTGGAAGCCCGGGGAAGAAGGCTAGCTGCCAAGCTAAGACAAGGTCTAGGTACAATGCCAGAGGGGGACGAGCAACTGACAGGTCGAGTATAGTAGGCACCTCACGCTGGTGTCTGCGGCCGGGGGCGGTCGGTCGGTCGGTTTGCGCTGATAAACAGAGATGCGATGTGTTTTTTTTTTTTTTTTTTTTTCACGCACCGACGGAGCCGCTCCCTTTCTGCAGTGGCGTAGTAGCGATACTGTCCGTAGTGGCTTGGGTGCTGTCTAATGTGCAATTGACTGGGAGCTATAGGTGGATACATATGCATGCGCAATGCGTACATCTACACGTAGGAGGTAAGGTAGAGCACCGTTCGTTACCTTCGCCCGTGACGTAGGCGCGGTTCAAACCTGTCTCCAGAGCGGGAGAGCAGCAGCAGCAGGGGGGGGAGTCCACAGGGGAACTAGTCATCGCCGATACGGAGATGGTTCGAGGGATGACTCTGGGGAATATGAGGCACATACCTATATACCTGGGTAGCTAGGTATGTAGGTACCTACAAGGACCCTCGAATGGGCCATTGTCGAGGCCCACCCGTTAGTGGACAACGACCAGCCCGCGAGTGGTGTGACTCGGCCCGTGGGCGACCAGCTGCTGGCCTTGACGGGTACCGAAACGTACCTGCGTAGGTACTTCGGGTGCTGCAACCTCACTACTTAAACTAACCGACGTGAAGCCTTTCCAGACAGACAGACAGACAGGGAGAGAGCGCGGAGAGAGACCCGATGCCGAACTCAACTGGGGCATCCACTGGTCGCTCGATTGCCTACGTCAGGGCCCATTTTGTACGGCCCGTCGTCGCGTATGTGCCGTCTCCCACCGTCGTTGCGCCGCCGCACCGAAACGGTATGTGGGTAGGTATATGTACCCAGGTAAAACCCCCCCCCTCCTTCGCCCAGCCCAGCACTATCACCAACGGCCGAACCGTAAAATTTGTACGAGTATCGCTGCCAATGGCCGCTAAAACCCCGCCCCGCTCCAGCGCCTCCCCAGCGTGATAATAACTCCCACCAGTCCCCGTCACAGCCCAGCGCCAGGTCCCGTTTCGCCAAGGGCAGAAGCCCAGCCCGTAACAGCCCGTGACAGCCCGTCAACTGCTAAAACTTACCTGCCTGCCTCATGCTTCTCTCTCTCTCTCTCTTTCTTCTCGCTCCCTCTCCCTCCCTCCTACCAAGACCTCTCTCTACCAAATCAAGGCTCTGCATGTTTTGCGATTCCGACAGCGTATCATGTCCACGATCGGCAATAACGCAATACCGCCATTTCTTGCAGCGAGGCCCTCTGTGAAGACACTGCCCTTCGTCCGCGCTCCGCATTCTGGCCCCTCCCTGCGCTCGTGCCGCGTCCCCGACACCGCTCATGTCCGGCTTCAGGATCGCGGAGAATGGATATGGAAGACATGAGCGTCCAGATGGTTGCCGCCGACACAGCAGCTGAGGCCGCAGCGGACGTCGCTGCCGCCGACCCCTCCAACCGACATCCCAAGAAGTCCAGCCAGACCTGCATTCCCTGTCGCGTCCGCAAGGTGCGCTGCGACGGCCGCCGCGACGTCTGCCAGAATTGCGAGCGCCTGGGCTTCACCTGCTCCTTTCAGGATGGCGCGTCGCCGAACCAGGATCCCGACACTCTCGCCGCTTTCGCCCTCCCTCGACGGCGCGTCCGCTTGGCCTGCGCCAACTGCCATTCCAGAAAGGCCCGGTGCAGCGGCGAGACCCCCAAGTGTGCGCGATGCCAAGCCCAGGGCATCGAGTGCGTCTACAAGCCGACCAAGCGGTCGGGCGGCGCCGGTGCCGCTCCCCAGTCCGCCCAGCCGGGCACCACCGACTCCGAGCTCGAGTCCGTATCGTCTGAGCCGCCGGAGAAGAGGATCATGACCAGCAAGGACAACCAGCGCTCGCATCGCGGCTCCCAGGATGGCCCGGACCAGCACCACCATTTCGAATCCAACGGCGCGCTGGCGGGTGCGACGCCGAATCGGGAACCGTATGCGCTCGACGAGGGGGTTTCGTCTAGACTACCAGTGAAAACTAATACTCCTCTCAGGTTCACCTTTCCCGACGAGGCCCTAACCCAGCGGACCTTCGGCAATTTCTTCCGCCAGATCCATCACGTGCCAATCTTTTCGTTCCTGCATCGCGCCTCACTCATGCAGCGCTACCACGCTGGTATGATGGATAAGGCGCTGCTTCTCGCCCTGGTGGGAATTACCTCGCTGCTCATGGACCTGGGCCCTGGCACGCGCGAATACGGCGCCAGATGCGTCGACGAATGCCAGGCCATGGTACTTCGGGACCTCGAAAACCCGTCGACGATCAAGATACAGGCCCTCGTTTTGGTCATGAAGCACAGGATGCTGTCGAAGAAGTTCACCACCGCTTTCATGCTCGCGGCAACGGCAACGCGCTTCGCCTACGCCCTGCGGCTGAATTACGAGAACCCGAACCTTTGCTTCCTCGCTAGGGAGTCCCGGAGGCGGTTGATGTGGGCGCTTATTACCATCGACTCCGGCATCAACGGCGGCTGCCCGGATTTTACCTTGATGCCGTCGGAATCGATGCATATCCAGCTGCCTTGCACCGAGCGTAATTTCGAGTTCGATCTGCCGCAAGTCACCGAATACCTCCGACCCGTCCCGACGCGCCCTTTTGCCGATGACATCGGCTCACTAGCGCTTCACGTGCGGCTCTTGTGGATGAGAAGCCGAGTGCTGTACTGCACCAAGAACGTGCTAGGCATGCCCGAAGCCGAGCTCACCCAACTCCCAGAGCTCGTCAAGGTGCTGTCCGACGAGCTGTCCGGCTTCAACGATCACTTGCCTTCCTCGTTCAAGTTCTCCGAGAGCAATCTACAGCTGCGCGCTTACTCACCGCGGCTATGCGTTTATATCATGATACACGTGTGGTGGCGGCAATGCCACTGCGATCTCTACCGGATATTTCTCCCCGGCTTCAAAGAGGCCCTGCCCCAGTCGGGCCTAAATCGATTAGACCCTCAGTTCGCGGCGTACTGCGCTCGCCAATGCTACGAACATGCCTTGGCCATGGCGGATATTTTCAAACTCATCTTATCCCTCGACGGCGGCCTGCCCGTCACCGACCTCGATCTGCCAGCCTGCGCGTATCAATGCGCACGAATTATTTTCTTCGTCTACCAGACGAATAATGGCGAGATTGGGATAACGTCGAGCGAGCTGCAGGATCTGACAACGAGGTGCCTGACGATCGTGAAGTCGATGGATCACGTTCCAGCCGGCGCCGCCATTGTAAGCCCCCCAATTTCGAGATATGTTGTGAGACTCGACTAAACACGCGTGTTTTTATAGGTTGCCGATCTCGAGAAGCTGATCGCTCGCTGCCTCTCCACGCCTACGAGCGTCACCCCGGGCAGCCAGGAGGCCCCCGGCCCTGCCGAACACAGTATTGCGCCTCAGCATGTCATACCAAATCACAATACACTTCCACGGCATATGCAGGTTATCGATGAAGGTGGCTTCGGTACCATGCCTATCTTGTCTCCCACACATCTCACCTCGCCGCAGCCGCAGGGAAGCTCGATGTCCACGTCAATCGCGCATCCCGTCGGCCGTCAGCCGCCACAGCATGCCCAGGGGTCTCCCCTACAGACGGCGCCAATCGGCGATTTCAACATGGCGAAGCAGAATCTACCCCCTGTGCTGCCGCCCGACGGAGTCGATAATAACAATGCCTTCGAAGGGGCCATGGACGGCTTCGACTTCAACTTTGAATCATTCGGGAACAGCGGGCTGGAATCGGGGTCCTGGCTCTCGAATGACTGGCTGAACACCGAATATTCCCAGGCGACCGTCTGACAAACCTCACGTTTGCGACAAGTGATATGTTGCTGTTATATCCGCGACGCTCTAGGGGATTCAGTGGCGCTCATGCGTGATGACACTTGCAGGCCGCCCCTTTCAGTATCCTCCCATATTAGCCAGGAGGGATGATCCGAAAGGGTCGGCGAGACGCAGGCAATCATAGTCGACGCCCCCTCGCCCCCTCCCCCTGTTCCCCTTCTGGTGAGCGGCACTGCTCTTCTTCACTGTCCCGAGGCCAGGTCGGCTATTATCCGCGGTCACTACCACCGCGGCCCTAGAGTATGAGGGCAACAATACTCTAGAAGAATGCAGTATTCCATTTCGGGCTTGCGCTTTGGCGTTCGAGAAACCGAGTACTAAATAACTCAGGTTTTTTGATCATTTTTTTTTGCTCGCGACCTTGTCTTAGGTTATACCGTCGACCCGTATACTGTTATGGGCCAACCTCCGAAGGAAGCACCTGCAGGGCTTACCACGACCCAGATACGATGCGGTCCTGTCCCTCGGTACATTGCAATGAGAACCCGAAATTCACAGGGGCGAACCAACTCCCCTTGCCCGGTCACGGGGCTGAAAGCAATCTTACCTTTGAGCCAAGGGCGGCGGATTGTCCAATCTGGCTTTAGTAATCCTGGGTATCCGGATGATTGTTGCCTATTGAGCCAATTCATGTCTGCTCACCCTGCAGCAGATGGACTGATTCTTACGCGTGAGCGCTCGATATCCTATTCCACCACCTACATCCCCAACTTTCAAACGCGGATCGATCGAATTATGGTGGGTCGTAGGAGCGAGACAGCTCGCGCCTGAATTCTGCAAAACTCGTGTCCCGGAGAGTGAGCATCGATACCGCGAGGTACGCCAGCTTACCCGATTTTCCGGTCTAGGGTTTATTTACTGTCATTTATCAAAAAGAAGGCCAAAGGATGGGCCTCTATCTACGGGAAACTGCCTAGACCATCTCAAGGGCCTCACGGTCTTCACAGCGATAGCGGCGGTACCAGCCAGTCTATGTCTTCCTCGATGCGCAACGCAGGGGCGAAGTACACACGATGACGAGGCTGCCGTGTCAGGCAACGCGACTCGGACATATGATTGACCATCAAAAGCCGGTGGGCGGAACTGGTTATGCGACTACAGCCCCCGCTGTACGTTTGCATAGGTATATGTGCGTATATATTACGAGAAGACGACGGTCCAGGTGCTTACAGGACATGGAAGTAATGCATGAGATAAAGGAATGATAAAAAGGCGACGAAGCCACCGAGAGAAGCCGAGATATACGATATGACGGAGGTATAGGTACATAGGTAATACCCAGCGGTGGATAGCCTTTATCTTATGTAAGGGAATCCCGCTATGGGGTTTCTGCCGTGGTTTTCCGCCTAGGCTTTTTGGTGCCCCACGATGAAATTTACTCGACAATACATTTCAATGCACTGTCCTTGAACAACCGCGCAACAACCCCACCATCCTCGGAACTCGCCTGCTCTAGTGCACACGAGACCGCATTTCAACGATGTCGACACCGGAAGAACCAAAACTGCCCGCGGGCGACGCCGCGCCAACGAATCCGCCCACAGAATCAAACCCCGTCTCTTCGAAGACGGTCCATTCCCTCGTGCTCGACACTGGCCCGCTGATCAAGAATGACCCTCCAGTGAGCACGCTGCTTAGTCAAGCCCAAGAGCTCTACACCTTGCCTTCCGTCATCTCCGAGATCCGCGACGCCGTGACGAGGGCGCGCGTCGAGACGACGCTGCTCCCCTTCCTCAAGCTGCGCAGTCCGCGGCCGGAGAGCATCAAATTCGTCGCCGACTTCGCGCGGCGCACCGGCGACCTCGAGGTCCTGAGCCGGCCGGATCTGCACCTGCTCGCGCTGACCTACGAGCTCGAGTGCGAGAGGAACGGCGGCGACTGGCGGTTGAGGAAGACGCCGGGACAGAAGGGATTGAACGGGAAGGCGCCCGCGCGGCAGGGCGAGGAGAAAGAGAAGGAAGAAAGAGACGTCGCGACACAAGAAGACACCCAGGGTGAAGAAGAAGAGGCAGGGGTGGAAGAGCTGACTGATATTGAGGGAGAATCTGAGCAAGGCGCAGAGAACGGTCCTTCGGGAGAGGTTACATCTGAAGCACAAGAGCAGCCAGCGATACAACCAGAGACAGTTACCGAAGCCCTCGACTCTCTAACTCTAGAACCATCGCTGCCGCCAGCAACGGGTGATACTATACCCGACGACGTGACGAATTTAGCAAAAGAGACACACGAAGAGGAGGGGGAAGCCGAGACGGAAGAGGATAGCGCGGATGACGATGGTGGCGGTGACTGGATCACGCCGTCGAACCTCAAGAAACACCAGGATCGGGACCGGGCAGCAACCGGGCAGCAGCAACCGGCAGCGCAGAGGTTCCTGCAGGCGGCGCTGCTGACAGCGGACTACGCGATGCAGAATGTGGCGCTGCGGATGAACCTGAACTTGGTGTCGGCGGCGGGGCTGGCGCGGATCACGCGGGTGAAGACGTGGGCGCTGCGGTGCCACGGGTGCTTCCAGGTGACGCGGGACACGGGGCGGCAGTTCTGCCCGCGGTGCGGGCAGGCGACGCTGACGCGGGTGAGCTGCACGACGGACGGCAGCGGGGCGTTCACGGTGCACCTGAAGCAGCGGGGCTTCCAGTGGAACAACCGGGGCAACGTGTACAGCGTGCCGAAGCCGACGCACGGGTCGGCGAGCGGCAAGGCGCCGGGGGGGGGCGGCAAGGCGAAGGCGAAGGGCGGCAAGGGCGGCTGGGGCCGCGAGCTGATCCTCGCCGAGGACCAGAAGGAGTACGTCCGCAAGACCACCGAGCTGCGGAGGGCCCGCGCCCGCGACCTCATGGACGACGACTACCTCCCCGCCATCCTGACCGGCGACAGGGGCCCCGCCGCCGGCGCCAGGGTCAAGGTCGGCGCCGGCCGGAATGTGAATTCGAGAAGGAGGTAAAAAAAAAAAAGCGGCGGGAAGGGGTATGGGTCTCTACGGATGTACGTAGCGTGTCTAGAGGACCCTGTATAGGGCGCAAACGATGTCATGAGCACGGCTATAATCGCACCATTGCCTCTAAACCCCCCGTGATACTACAATGCTAGCCCTCTCGCCATCCACCCCCATAGGCCAGCGGTTACTTGTGAATGTAATGAGGCCAACCTTGCCCATCAAGACGACATATCGTTTCACTCTTGCGAACCCCACGCATCGCCCCTCCGCGATCCTAGACTCGCACCGCGCATATCGCACCGTATCTGTCTGTATTCATCTAGTTTCAGTACCTACCTTTTCTTTCTCCTCCTCTCCAACTGCGGCTTCTTCTTCTACCAGTTCTGCTAGCGTAACTTGTGCACGCGGCGCCGCTCCTCCTCCTCCTCCTCCTCCTCCTCCTCTCCCCCCGCCATCGCCAAGTCCCGCGTGCTCACCGTCCTGCCGCAAGCGGAAGAAAATGGAAAACGCCGGTACGCCCCGTGGAAAAAAGAGAAAACGTCCTCGTGGTCCCGGACGGAAGGCGGAAAGCGGGAGGGGGGGGGCCGGGACGCGGTCGCCCGCGTGCTGGCGCGCTCGCGAGAGGAGAGCCGGCTGCTCAGGCGCATAGGCGTGTAGAAGTGTGCGGACGTCTCCGCGCGGCGGCCAAACGGGGCGCTCGTCCCGCAGGGTCGCCCGGCGGCGCCTCAGCGCTGGGTCTCGGCGACCTTGTTCTCTGCGCAGGGCGGGTCAGACCACTCGGGTGCTCGGGGAGAGGAGGGAGGGGGGAGAAGGGGGGGGGGGGGGAGACTCACTCTGCTGGGTCAGCAGCAGGCCGAAGCGCTTCTTGAGGGTGACGCGCTGGCGCGACCACTTGTCGTCGGGCGAGAAGCGCGCCGGGTGCGCCGACTTGGTCACCTCGCCGCGCAGCACCTTCTTCAGCGTGTACACGCGCTTGCCGCTGCCGTCGACTGTGTACATGAGATGCATCACGGCGGGCTCCTTTCGGTCTCTTCCTTCTTCTTCTTCTTTTTCTCTGCGCGCGCGGGTTGGATCGGATTGGGTCTGGGTGAGGGGTTGGGGTCGAGGGTGGGTGTGTGGAAGAGCGGCGAGAGGGCGAGGAGGTGTGGTTGCGGTGTTGGGATGGCTAAGACGGTAGGATGAAGGCGGTGGGTAGGTAGGTAGGTTTTTTCCTGAGGTGCTCGGCCGCTAGTGGATAAGAGAGCGATTGGAAAAATTGGATGGGTCCGTAGGGATACGGAGTCGCATAGCTACAACTGGGAAAAAACTCCACTTTTCGGTCGAACGCCCCAGTTTTATCGTCTACACATACGCCCCCAATAGGAGGAGGTATATATGTTTGATGCAAGTCCCCGATAGCTTCATATTGTATTCGTAGTAGCTTATATACATATACGAATAGAGTTATAGGCTACCGAGCTACCCTTCGCGAGCCGGGTATTTTATATAGGTTTATATATAAACGATTTATCACCGTAAAAAACCGGAAAAAAATCGGAAAAATCGGAAATTTACTTACGTAATTAATTAGCTTAATTAAATTAATATATAAACTTTTCGGATTATTTACTTAGTAATATAAGAAATTATTTACGATTTAAGGGGTTTTTAAACTATATTAATAATTTCCTATATAATTTATTAATAACCTTATTAGCTATACTTATATCGATATATTTATCTAATTTTTTTACGGTAATGAAGTAGGTCTATTATATAATATTTTATTTTATAAATAAAAAATAGCTAGTATTAAGTAATCTTGTTTTTATTCTTTATTTCCGTTTTTATTTAATTTATTATTTCAAGAAAACTACGTTTTTAAATAGGTTAAAACTTTTTAAAATCGTATCTATTTTTATAGTAAGAATTCTACCTTTCTAACTATCTTCTTTTTTTATATAAAGAGATTCTAAAAAAGAATACTAAAAATTAACGTTTTTAAGACTTAATTAATTTAAAAAAAGTTACGTAATCTTCATTATTATTTTATCTATATTATAAAGGATTAAGTAATAGACCTACTTTATTACTATAAAAGAAATAAGTTAAAAGGCCGATATAAAGTATAGTTAATAAATTTATTAATAAGTTATATAGTAAATTATTAATATAGTTTAAAAATCCCTTAAATCGTAAATAATTTCTTATATTACTAAGCAAAAAACCAAAAAGTTTATATATTAATTAAATTAAGTTAATTAATTACGTAAGCAAATTTCCGATTTTTCCGATTTTTTTCCGGTTTTTTACGGTGATAAATCGTTTATATATAAACCTATATAAAATACCCGGCTCGCGAAGGGGTAGTCTAGCTTACCTATTGGCCGACCCAACCAGAGGGTAGCTCCTTCCCTACGTATAATTAAATATTCAACCTGCACCTCCCTACCTACCACACCCCTAGGGTGTACGTACCGAAAAGTGGAGTTTTTTCCCAGTTGTAGCTATGCGACTCCGTATAGGGACTACCTAAGCGGCTTTGCGAAGTGCGGTCTTATCGATAATACCGACGCAAATACGGGGATTCCCTTTCCGGGGTAAACTTGAGCATAAGTTAGCCCTGTCCGCGTTTATACATCCTCGCACAACTTTTCGCATTGGTATATATGTGCACAAGTGCTATCTATACATTCTTTCATATGTAGGTAGGTACGTGGAGGTATATATAGAATTGCCAAGAGACTCCGTTCTATTCCCTCCTTACCACAAGTCCCATAGACTCTCCTTCTAGCCTACAGAACCACCCATAAGTATAGTACCGAATCTTTACTTAGTTGCTAGTACAATACCCACTTGTATAGCTCGATGGATATGGATTATGGATGTGGATGTGGATATGGATGTAAGCTGACGAGCCGGGGCAGGGTTCATTGAGCACCCTGGGTGCTAACACAGCTTGGTACTAACCGGACTTATACCTATATATCCTACTGGTAAGAGGAACGTAAATAGGTAGAGAGTGAGACTACTAATAGTACCAAGGTAAGGTCAGTAACTATCGTGACTTTTGCTCTTCGTTTCGTCCCACACACACTATGCGTTCCGCCCACCATTCCCATCCATCGACCATGCGGAACTTACTCCGGCGGTTACTCCCCCTGCTGCACGTAGTCGGCGGCTTCTTCATGTTGTGGAAGGGGTTCTCTGTCCTGGCCGACTCGCCGTGCCCAGCGCACGTCGTTATCTCGGAGTCGATGGCGCCGGCGTTCCAGCGCGGCGACATCATCCTCTTGTCGAACCGCGGCCGCGAGATCCGGGTGGGAGACATACCCGTCGTCTGGTTCCGCAACGCACCACTGCCCATGGTCCACAGGGCGACCAAGATCCTCTGGGCGGCGAGGCCGGGAGGCAAAGGCGAGATCGAGTAAGCCCCCCCCCCAGTCAAGTTGGGTTTTCCCGTACCTCGAGTTGCTGAATAGGGAACCCCCCAGGCAATTGATCCTCACCAAGGGCGATAACAACGAGCTGGATGATGTTGCCTTGTATCCTGGTAGCCGGAGGTATGTGTACAGAGATGAGATTATTGGGGTCGTCCGAGGTTACTTGCCGTTCTTGGGGTGGATCACGATACTATTGAATGAGACGCCGTACCTGAAGGTCGGACTGGTTGCTGGGTTGACGCTCATCAGCATATTTGCATAGATTTACACTCTCGTGTGCCTCCAAACGAGTTGAGGGCCTATTGTTCATAAACTCGTATACTCTGCTAGAATTTCTGTCCTATCATTGAAACCAACAACTGATATATTTTGGGATACACAAGCCTTGGTGTTAGCCACATGAAAAATGACGAGACCCATAGAAATCCGAGCAACCTTCTCAACACCTCCACCGTCGCAACGCTGATTCCCGTCCGTTGTAATATCATGTATGATGGTGGCAAGCTCGGGATGCATCTAGAAACCACCATCTCAACGCATATCCCGAGAAAGTTACCCCAAAAGAAGAAGATGTCCCGATCCAAAGCAGAGTCGCCCGTTTTCCACCCGACTATAGCATGTGCCAGCCCTGACACCGTGAAGATGAAAAAGGCCACGACGGCTTTCTTCACCATCGGCGGTGCCCACGAGAACAAGACGCTGTCGGTGAGGGCTCTCGCCCACATCCCCGCGGATGCGAAGAGCCTGTGCCAGACCTTCCCCCAGAAGCGCTTGAGACTGTATGCCTCGAGCGGGTTCCCGAAGAGCGGCGGCCACTCATGCGGCTCGTCGAGGCGGGCGATCGCGGCGAACAGGATGCCCATCAACGCGTGGCCGATTTCCAACTGTGACATAGAGTCGAATATCCAGATCGTCGATACAAATGCTCGCACCACCAGGTCGTGGAACGTCACGGATTCGTAAAATAGCCGACGGATGATGGGCTCGCGGGCCGGTGAGAAGTCGTACAATGTGCATTTCGCGAAGATCAGGACCATAACCATGTTGAGACCCGTCTTGAGCCCGACCAAAACAGCGATTTTCAGGAGCCGATACGCGACGAACCTGCTGAGAGCGCTGTTCGTTGCGCGTGCGCTTTTCGGCGGCCTTTCTAGTTTCGTAGGCAGCCACCGCGGGTTGTTGAATAGCTTGTAGGCTGTCGTGAGGTTCCAGTTCCGGCTCCCGTCGGCTGCGACCTCGACGCGGAGAGAGTCCTCGCGCACGCCAAATACGAGCGGGCAGCCGAGGAACGTGAGAACCAGGAGCATGCCGAACTGGTAGCTGAGGCCCGGCACCCAGTCCAGTAGGTCGATGCCCTGGATGGAGAGCCCGAGCAGCGCCCAAACGGGTAATACGAGAGCATATCGACGACGGGTCGGGATGTAGAAACCCCAGAAAATGAGCGCGGCCGCTGAGGCGTACAAGAGAAGAGGTTCTACCGCTCTCAGAGCGGTTAGAGAAGACATCGCGAGCATTTCACCACTGCGTGACGCTGTGTAGGGTTGAAGTGAGTGGGTACGTGTGAAGAAGCAATAGAGCTTCTTCTTAGAGACCACGCGCTACAAGTTACCTACTTCAAACTGTCTAACTAGTTAGCCAGGAGAGGGCCGGGTTTCTAAGGAAAGTAATTAGGGTGATCGCGGGCTACCCCGGCGTCGTAGAAAACTAGCCCACGGAGGTTCATACCCGCATTGGGATAACTATAGCATGTCGTCTCTATTGATGCTAATTATAGGCATCGTGCACCTCGCCATTAATATACTAGTTTTTTTCTTTTTACCGCAATACCTAGTGCTTACAGCCGCGTCTCGCATGGGGTGTCAAATTTCGTACACACTGGAGCAACAAAAGTACTCGTAACCTATCAGGATAGAACAGCGTGCCAAAGAGGCTACCGAGGAAAACGGCAGCCCTACCAAGTTGGGTGCAATGAAGCGAAGAAAATACACATGGGACCTGTACTACTACAACAAAGCGATCGGTCACTCCTAGGAGACTTGGTGCCAAGTTAGTCACTTTTATCGAGGCAAAAATCGAACGGCCACTCAGCCTGCTGTATAAAGAGAGAAGAAAAGAACGCAATTGGCTCGTCGTATCGATGCGCGCATTAAGAGGTTGGATGGGTCATAGCTATTCCTTATCTCTGAATCCTTCGCCGGTGTCTCTGTAAGCCAGCTTCGGTTTTGCGACTAAAAGCTCATCTGGCACCCTTGCCCTTAGCTTCTTGGCAGGTTCTAGAGGCATAACTAAAATGTCGAGTTTCCATAATACGATGTCTCCTTATTTCCACATAAGTGGGCCTTGAGGAAGTGGAAAAAGCTCTTTGCCATTTCGGGCGGGCAGTCCAAAGATGAAACCAGCTGATGAAAGCGTGTAGGTCGTTGTTGGGGGGGGGGGGGGGGGGGGGCAGAGTCGACTCAGATGTGCGGTTCGCCAACAGCAAGACTGGCAAGGCTCATTTTAGAGGTGCGCCTCTTTAGTACTTGGCAGCTTGTTCCCCATGGGCCCATTCCCGTTGGTCTTGCGGATATAGCTACAGAAGAGCTAGTCAGCATAGCGTCTGCCTTGTGAGGCGTTGCCAGCTCCACCCTCTAAACTCGCCCGTCGACTCCTGACCATACTCCGCTCGGGGGAACAAGCGAGAGAGGAAGTTAGAAATACACAGGAGATATAGACTTATGCCACCAATGGCAACATCATGTGATTAGATCGAAGACTCGCGATCGTTAGCATCCACATCCACAAAGTCACGATGCCTCGCCAGCCAATCATGGCACCTCTGAGTTAGCTTCTCTGGTGCCCAAGCCATTTCGGAATGGCGGTGAACACCATACTCAGGGATCACGGTCCGATAATCGCCAGGGTTCTCTAAAAACAGAGCTCATGGTTGTAAGCTTGACTCAGCGGAGCGTCGACACAGGCGGCGGAGAACGTGGCTGCGAATTTTTCGCTACGATATTGTGTGCTTTGTGGTCGATTCCTCACAGCACGATGCTCTCAAACTCTAGAGTTTTGTGTTGCAGACGCGTCTATAAAGACAATCGTCTCCCGCAGCCCCCTAAGAAGAGAAACGCCAGCAGACATTGACCTCTCACACCCGAGACCACTCACTCAGGTAGCATCTTGCCTCAACCCGCCGCTTCTTGCACTCTCCTTCCCAGCCCGAAGTCGTCCAGCCCCCTCAATCTTTCAACATGCGCTACCAAGCTGCTACTGGAGCTGCCGTCCTTGCGGGCTTCACTATGCTTCAGAGCTGCCCTGCTCCCGTGTGGCAGCTGGTGCCCGCCATCGCCGGCATCGTCGCTGGTGCCCTTGAGATCACCGTCAGCGAGATCGGCAAGCGGGACGTCGACGGGGAGGAATTCAACGTCGAGACCGTCGTGGCGACCGACATCAAGCCCGACACCCTCAACGCCCGCGCCAAGTACTGCATGCCCGTCCCCAAGGGCGTCCCCGAGAACGTCATCTCCAACTGCTGCAACTCGCTCCGGAACGCGCACATCAAGATCACCGGCAAGAATCCCAAGTCTGGTAAGCTCTGCTCGGCCCTAAGGTATACTCGGATAAGACCATGCAGGCTAACTAGCTCAATAGGCATCAAGATTACTGGCATCCCTTACCCTTGCATCTCGGCTGCCCCGTGGTTTGACGGAGTTGGCGCTGTCCCCTTCGCCTGCGGCAGCGACTGCCTTCAGTATGCAGACCTGACCAACGCCGAGTACAACCAAGTCAGGAAGGCTTTCCTCGACAAGGCCAAGAAGTAAGGCGTGCTATCGTCTTTCTCAAGCTCAAAACACACGCGCTGTTGGCAAGATGGTGGGAGTGATCAAGGGTCGCGAGAGGGTCTCCTCGTCGTGTCGGCCGTAGATATTAGTTTCCATTCTATGCTGAATGTCCTCATCGGTCCCGAAAGTACATACTAGAGGGGGATCGGAGCATTTAACTGTCTTAATATATCAACAAGTTTCTCGGCCGAGACTAAATATTCCATATCGGAATGTACCGTGTAAGCTGCTAACTAGAGCCCTTTTCTCATCACAGTTGGTTCCCGAGTCTGCTTCATATACTGAGTCTATCGAGGACTGAGAAGATACGAAATGTGACCCACTATTGCCTTCCCCGATTGATGAAACAACAGGGTCCTTTAAGGGCTGGCAACTGTCCAACCTGACGTATAATATTGATCGAAAGTTCAGCGACTACCAAAATATGCGGAACCCGTCTTATCAGAAGCTTCACAGGGACGATTTCCCTATTCCGGGCATTGCCTCATCTATCGTGCGTGTCAATCTTGGTTCGTTAATGTCTTTACATCCCCTGTCAAGAGCCATGGAAACTCGCGGCTCAACCCAACCCCTCAACCATTTCCTACCCCATTTTCTACACGTTGCAAATAAAACACGGAAGCTTTCATGTATACAACGATTTAAACAGTTGTTAATCTCTTCGGACATTACCCCACCTGTCTACATCGAGGGGTTGAGAGGAATTAGAGAACATCACCGAATAGGCGGCAGCTTCTGGAAACATTACTCTGTGGAAGTAGAGCAACCGGCCTCCGAGCCCCAAATGGGTAGAGGAATTATGGAGCGACCCTTGCAACGGGGCCACACATCCAGGACGTTCATTTAAGCTACCGCGCGGTTGACGATCATCGCATTGCCGGGCAATAAGCGATGACGAATTCACCCGCTGCAGGCTGATCACAACCAACTTTTAGCCAAGAGCGGCGGGCGTATTAGGGGAGAAAGACGTCGGTTTGAGGAAGCAATAAAGCCACCGACATGGCCTACACGTGCGGTTCGAGAGAACTGCCGATTCCACCAACCCCGTCGGTCTATTGAGGCAATACTGAGTAGCCAGGTCGAGCTATGGGAGCATCATCTCCGTGCCACCACGGACCAACATCGTGGAAATAGAGGGTTGGTCGATCTATACGACCCCTCCGTTTGGGTGGCCTTTTAATTACGGTACTCTTGACAGCGCACTTAGGCCCCCCGAACACATACAAAAGCTAGCTGGCCCAGCGTCGCCAAGGTGTCCGCCCGAGCCCGGACGATTACCTCAAGCCCGATCCATCGACTTCATAGAACAGTTCTAAGATGTTGGCAGCCACCCTCGTCGCGCTCGCGCTCGCCGCAACTGGCTTCGCCCAGATCGAGAAGCCCGCCGGATACAGCCAGGTAGTCATCACGTCATCCTGGAACGAGAAATTCGTGCTCCAGCCCGCCGCGCCGGTGAAGACCGGCAGCAACATTGTCCTGTCAGTCCTGGCGCCCCGTCTTCGTTCCCCGGGCCGCACGGCTAATCTGGCTGTCCCCGACGTCTTAGCATGAGCCGCAAGGACACCGTCGACCAGCAGTGGTACCTCCAGAGCGGCAGCACCAAGATCCAGCTGGCGAACACGACGCTGTGCCTCGACGCCGGCGCGAGTGAGTCCCCAGAGCCGCGATTAGCATAGTATTCGTAACGTATTATCTGACACGCGCGCCCAGACCGCGCCAACGGCAGCCCCCTGACGGTGACTACCTGCGCCGATAACCAGGCGTCGCAGAAGTGGGTCTACAACGCCGACCAGCAGATCGTCCTCGACCAGACCGGCGCGAGTAAGTCCCCCCCCCCCCCCCCCGAGCCGGCCGGCACCAGTGCGGCGCGTAATGGTAGCTGACAGCCGCGGGCAGAGCTCTGCGCCGACCTCTACATGGGCGCGGTCCGGGACAACACCCGCATCGTCATCTGGCAGTGCATCGCGGGCGATAAGAACCACATCTGGGGTACCGCCAACGTGACCACGGCTGTTTAGAAGACGCAGTGTGGCGGCGAGAGGTGCTGAAACCAGCCGTCGAGGGGAGGTGTGGGGGGGGGGGGACTTGATGGGAGGAATGAGAAACAGATTCCCCAAGTTGCGGGTGATATGCAGACTGTATAGGAGAAGCACCCGTGTAATCGATGAACGCGAGTCCATTCCAAGCCGCATAATATTAACCTCCTCAGAATACCATTTCGGCCTCTAGTAAATCTCGTCTTTGGGGCTGTCATTCGATGACGCCGCGGTGGCGACACCCTGTGATATACGTGTTATGTGCTGGTAATCATGACGCCGTAGGCTGCCGCCTCGTGCGACTGATGCCCGCCCTTTCATAACACTCGTTTCGTCGGTATTCCTCGCTGACTCCAGCACGACTCTGGAACAAGACATTGCAAAAAGCGACCTTCCACCAAGCACCATCCCGGCCTCGCTCTCTATCTACTACCTACCTACTTACCTACTTGTCTACCTACTTACCTACCTACCTACCTTTCCTGTCCCCCCCGCGCAGTCCGCCATGTTCATCCCCTCGGCGCAGACCATCCTCACCGCCGGCCTAGCCGCGATGCGCACCGGGACAGGGCGTACGTGCCCTTCTCCCATCCCCCTTCCCCTCCCCGCCAAGTACTAACTCCCACCCGCTATAACCCCCGAAACAGCCCGCGTCATCACCGAGGGCAGCGTCCTGGACTTCGCGGTGGAGCGCTGCGTCGACGCCGAGGGCCGCACGCGGTGCTCGGCGCCGTTCGCGGTAGCCGGCCCCGCGGCCGGCGGTCCCGCCTGCTACGACTTCGCCTGGCACACCGAGGGCCCCCTCACGCACACCACCGCCGAGGTGCGCGACGCCGCGTCGGGCGCGCTCGTCTTCTACCGCGACACGGACGGGGAGTGGCGGCCCGAGAAGGGCGAGGTGAGTCTCTTTTTGGCTTTTGGCTTTTTGTTTCGGGAGGGGGGGGGCAGAGCGTCGCGCTGATACTAGCGTGCGCAGCTCGTCTACCTCGATTTCAAGCCCAAGGTGCCCTCCACCGGCAACCAAACCGTGCACTACAAGGTGACGACGTGCGAGTGAGGGATCGCCTGCAGATGCGGCCTCCGGGGTGGGGTGTGTATCGGGCGACGCATCGGTGGAGGAAGAAGGGAGTGTGGTCGAGGGGAGCGCGAGGAGGGAGATACGAGCATACAGGTACAGCTAGGGGGTTAGCGCTTTAGAAAATGGGCAAGACATTTTGTAGATTGATGGTATTCTTGTTCGGACCTCGTAGGATTTACCTCGCAAGACGATTGCAGCCGAGGACGTTCATTTCAATCGATGTCTTTTCCTTCAGGCACGGTCTGCTGCTATGTTAACTGCCCGTTCTGTCTGGATTTCTATGAGCGAAGAAATTTGTAGGGATGGCCTAATGACATCGTGGGCAACCGATGCTCTCTATTCATGCCTTCGCTTGCAGCGAACTCTACCTCGCCGCCTATTTCAGGTTCTCGTCGATAACCAAAGAGTTGTTCAAACGGCAGCGCGTGCTAGATGCAAGTGCACCGTTGGGAGCTTCAAGCGGGACGCAATTCCCAGTGGACATGTACTTGGTAGAGCAAGTTGTTGGGTTCAGTCATGAGCTCAATGCAAACCTTCAGTTGCAATGCACCAAAACGCTTCGTCGGACTTGACTGGAGAAAGCACCGGAATGCCAGGCAGTGCTGTAGACTGTCGATATTCCGGGGGGTCCAATTTGCTATACCGATTCTATCGCATGTTCGAGCAGACTCGAACGACCCCTTCCCAAGATATCGTCGATGACCAAGTTATAGATATACCCAATATGGATGCCTCTAATGCCGCACAACGCCACGTAACGCTATTCCTACCGTTTCCACACCGCGCGCGGGACCTGCTCGGCATCATCCCTGACACCCACGCCCCGCGCTTTGATCTTCGAGGGGCCTGGCTGCGCGTCGATCCACTGTAAGTCGGCCGTCCAGATGCCGGCCTTCGTGTAGTCGCCGCTCGACGTGCCGGACATAAATCCGAACCGGAAGTACTCGTTGGAGCGCGTGTCGTTCGCGCGCGTCCAGACGAACTCGTCCGACCCCGCGTCGCCGAAGAACCCGCGATACCTCTCCACGTCGTTGACGAGCACGCTGATGCCGTCGTATCGCAGTCCTGGCGACGCCCCCCACCGGAACGTGATGGTTGACAGGGTGGTGTTTATGATCGGCGCGAGGATGGTCGGTAGCGGCGAATTTAGCTGCGAGTCGCCCTGCAAGGCGACCGACGTCTGAAGGAAGGGGTCGAAGCCCCAGCGGGCTATGCCGTTGATGAACAAGCCTATCAAGATGCCCTGGTAGAGGAGCGAGGGTCGCGTCTGTATGCTCGTGCCCGGCAGCAGCAGCAGAGTGAGGATGTAATGGTGGATACGCAGGTTTAGGCCAGGTAGCACTAGGCAGATGATAATACCCAGGATGAACAGCCCATACAACTTGAGATAGCGTGTTAGTCTCTTCTCTTGTCGGAAACACCAAATCTGACCGACAACGATAACAAAGAGCACGATGACGATGGCAGCCAGCGCCCCCTTAGCGCCGGGCTGCTGCTCGAGATCACGCCCCGTCAAGCGCTGGATCGGGATGAAGTCGAAGGTATAGTTGCTCAGCGCGCCGACCCAGCAGCCGCCCAGCCACAAGACCGCCTTCTCGATCTGAGCGGTCAGGCCGTGCAGGGTGCGCCGCACGCCCATCTTGTCGTAGAATACCCAAGCGCAGAACATGGCAGGGAGGAATTTGCCTAGGATATTCGAGAAGAGACCGGGTATCGACGAGTAGGGCGGCGGATCCGAAGCCATGCCGACCTGCCAGAAGATGCCGACGAATGTGCTAAAGAAGAACACCGCCGACGACTCGGTAAACACGGATAAGACGGTGCTGAAAGTCACAGACACCGCCAGGAGCGACCACCTGACGTCTCTCGACCTGCATTCGATGCCCGTCTCGAACGCGATGGAGAGGGGAAAGTAGGAATCGAAACCGACGCTCTGGATGCCGTGTCGGTCGGTGGCGACAAAGTTCTGCTGCTGGCCCACGAGCGATACCACCCCGCACCCTCCCTGCGAGTTGGAGATGAGGCCGGAATGGATAGCAGACCCGCAGATGAAGGAATCCCCCCGGTAGATCGGGTTCTCCTCGTTGGTGGGATCTGGGGGCCCGCCGATAACCAGCGGGGCATAGATAACCTCCTGGTCTCCCACGGCCCGCGGGTTGAGGACCCGATAGCTCGCGCAATTGGAGGGGCACCTAAAGGCAAAACCGCTGCCATTGAAGGGCCGGCAATTCACCCCGTCGAGGCCGCACTCGTTGTTGCGAGTCCAGTACGTCACACCGCATCCGATGTCCGTCGGCGTGCCGTAGCTCTCGACCTCAGAGGCTACCTGTCCTCGCCACATGACAATAGCGAATGTGACGATCCACACAGCGACATAGCCTATATACAGAAGGATCTGGTGGTTTCGGCTCGGGAGGACCTTGTCGAGGAGACGCACCGGCGCATGCTGAACGAGGGGGAAGAGAGGCTCGATCTTCCAGACCTTGGGGTTCTGGGGACCCCCCGCCCAGTCAACGACCACCCTGCTGTACTTTCGAACTGGGTAGGGAACCCATTTCCAGTTCTTCCAAGCGCCCTCGTCCTGCATAAAGCGCGGGGTCGGCGGTCGGTCGTTTTCGCGGAAATCGAGGTGCTCCGGACCGTGAAGCGGGTCGTCCGGATGAGCCGAAGGCGGCTGCTGCTGTCGTTCGAGGTCGGGGGAAAGCGGCCGGGCGTCTGTCTGCTCGGAGCGCATGATACGTCGCTGTTTGATAACAGTGGATTCGTCGGCGACCCGTTCTTAACCTATATGTAGGATGCAGGCGTGGTGCCTGGAGGTATATAGAGGCTTACGCAAGGAACGTAGCGAGCTGCGTGGTCGAGCAGCCGGCCGTTCTTTACACAACAAGAAGGGCTGGTTTAGTCTACGGGGCCATACACGATGGTTAGGGAGGTTGGACCGCTAGAGAGAGGCATAGACTGAGGGCCAGCCTAGTCGTCTGAATGTTGAGACTTGTTGGTGGGCGCAGTGATAGAGGGCAGGCGAGGATGAAGGGACATGGGTGAGTTGGGAGAAAGACGGCGGGTTGGGGAGAAGAGGGAGTGCTTACAAGGCCTCAGCGCCGAGGAAAGGACGCGAACCTGTCCGCGCAAGCAACGGCAAGGGGGTTGATAGGCCGCATATGATTAGCCCAGAGGTGCTGGTGACGGACGTTGATTGGCTGTCTGTCGTTTTGTGCACAGTTTTATGCACGTGGACGAGAGGTCATGTTCGTGGGCAAGGTACCTGCGGTAGGGTGGCTAGCACGGCGTCAGGTTAGGTACTCCGGGTGCAGACATGCATAATCTAAAAATGGACGGTTGATATGTGGATCCAGACGGGCCGTTTATGCCAAGAAGTTAAGGCTGGAAAATGCAGGCCAATTTCGGAGTACGGTATATCCCATGATCCGGCTGCATTACGTAATGAAGATGCCAAGGTTAGCTGTATAGATCGACACCAGGGAGTGGGACTATTCCAAAAGTAAACAGATATGAAAACAAAGAGAAAAAAAAAGCCGCCCAACACTGATGTCTGATATCGAGATCCGATGAGGTCAACAAATGGGATTTCTGAAAACGAATAAGCCGTGAGCAATTCTGTAGACCACATCCACCACCTATTCACAATTGGGGAATGGACAGGGCCTCGCCTAGATCGACCAACCTTTCTGGAACCAGGGACGGCGCGTACACGCCGGGATCATGGCCGAGTCGGCGCCGGAGCACCCCATGTTCAGCATCATTAAGAGCGCTGCTGTGGGTGGAGGCGTACCCCGCGTAGGCCGGCTCATCCTTCCCAAGAGAACACCGCTCGATACTCCCAACTACATCGGCATATCTTCGCGAGGAGTGATACCACATCTGACGCCCGACGTCGTGTCAAAGCACACCGATCTCGACGGCGTATACATGGGCCTCGAGGACTGTGAGTAGAGGGGCTTCGTGCCAAGCAGCCCTGTGTTCCCCGTTCAGCTAACATGTCTCTCAGTTATGGAGAGGTCTAAGGAGAGGGCGGAGCCAGCTATCTTCGGCATCAACGCCGATGAGGGCGATGCTCTGCACGTCTACACCGCCACACCCACTCCGATAATCACGGTGCTTGGTGCCCGAAGGCATCCCGCTGTAGTGGCGCCCACAGGCAATGGCAAGGACTATATATCTATTTATACCTCGACGGGTTTCCAGAAGCTGAAAACCGACGAGTATCACCGCGTTGCGGTGAAATTACAGCCGGATGTCACCATCCCACTGGCCGACTTGACCTTTGGCTACTCACACATGAGGACTAAGCTTCCCAACGCGAAACGTCAGCTCCGTATGGTAGAGCGGACCGAGGATTGGCTGGTCGAGTTTATAAAACTGAACAGTGCCTATAATGGTGATGTCGCCACCAAGCCGCGAGCCTTTGCCCCTCTTCTACCTGTCGACTATCCGACGCAGTGGGAATACATAAACCGTCTTGCACAAGGCTACATCGAGCAGATATCCGGCCTCGCCGTCTACGACGCGGATGTCCTCTCTCACCTGGGGGAGTATGATTCCCTGAGCACGCTGCCGCGCCTCTCTATGGACTTCATCACATCCCCGCACGAGATCCTCCGTCAAGTTCAATTGGGACTGGACATATTCACGGTGTCGTTCCTCAACAGCATTTCGGATGCCGGAATCGCTCTCACCTTCTCGTTCCCATCACAAGCGCCCTCGGTCTCGGGCGAACCGCTCCCGCTCGGGATCAACATGTGGTCTCAAGACCATCAGGTATCGTTAAAGCCGCTGGTGGAAGGATGCCAGTGTTATGCTTGCACCAAACACCACCGTGCCTATCTGCACCACCTCTTGAATGCCAAGGAAATGCTAGGATGGACATTATTACAGACGCACAATCACCATATCTTAAGCGGTTTCTTTAAGGGAATCCGTGCCTCGCTCGCTGCAGAACCCTCGACTTTCGAGCGCGACTGCGATGTCTTTGCTAAAACGTACGAAAGCGAATTACCGAAGGGCACCGGGGAACGGCCACGGGCACGTGGGTACCATTTTAAGCCCCAGGCAGGGCAACCCAGGATAAACGCGCGCGCCTGGGAGAAGTACGATGACGGCGTGGTTGAGGACCCGGTCCTCGCTGGCGAGATGGCAAAACTCGCGGTGATAGGCAGTGACATAGACGGTGTCGGAACGCCGCTTGCCACAGACGTCGACACTGAAGCTAGCAAGCTAGATAAGAAGGACTTTGCCGACGTGGAGTCGTAAAAGTCTCCATCCGACTGATAAGAGGGCGAATAATCCGCTGCGCCAAGTTGTCTCGTAAAATTAGGAGGGCCGTTGTCGGCTTGGCCGCCTTCGGGTTGGCGACTCAGACCCGCATCGGCGTAGGTACTGCCCGGGCCGTCAGGGCGACGATCACCACGTAAATGGCGCGAGGCCGAAAGCAAAGTCTTGGTGAGCTTAAGATGTGGGACCATTCTGCGAGCACGTTGGTATCCCACTGGTGATCTCTCCCTCGACACGTTGGAACTGGTAGGACCGATTCCGAGAGCTTGGGACCAAGGGCGCGCCATCCTACGCTGCTACATATAGGTATTGGATGGCTCGTGCTGCTACCTATATGCTTCATACGTCGAGCGTATTCTGGAATAGTTCCCGAATATCGCTTAGAATTGCAGATCCAATCAAGGGAAATCCGCGGTGCACTCACACTCTCCGGAATGCTACACCCTCGGTGGATCTTCAGGCGACCGGGCCATGCTGATGGAAAGACAGAGCAGGGTAGACTCCAATCCGCCCTGCGACGCTTCTCAGGACTCCGTGATATTCATTCCATTCTGCAATACCACCGAGACTCAAGACATCACGTCAATCGTATCCAGAGACGTATACCTCTAAACTACGCACGGAGAGGGACGTCAGCCAAGGCCATCCTCGAGTTCTGCTTCGTGAGAAATCGACCCCCATTCGGCCTCCTCCCTCATTCACCACCCTCCATATCATGCCACATCCATGTATGCACGTGTCAGTGGTATGCGATCTCGGTCCAACTGTGTGGATTCTCAGGCATCCAGAATGGAGGCCTGTGATTGGTGGAATTGAAGAAAAACACGCAACAGCTAACTGCTCGTAAAACGTTGTATTTAAGCCCTTTTGGCAGTTCAGTTTTTACACCTTCAATTGATCCACTAGGTTCACCTTTCAACACGCAACACGCTTTGCATGCCTGATATATCAGGCAGCGGAGCCACGAAACGAACCTGCCAAAACGCACAACTGTACCCAGCCAGCCCCTTCCAGAGGTTGGCGAACTCACGCCGATCTTCCAGTCTCAGAGAAAGGACCAATCGTCACGGTGAACCCAGCCACGTTCTCAGATCCCTGTCGTGGCATCTCCACAGCCAACTCCATTGGGCAGCGGTCGACATCCCTTGATAACAGCCGACGAGCCTTGGCAGAGGGGGGTTTCTCTGCTATTCGCCGAATTCAGATGGGAGACTTCACCTCCCAAATGCGGCATGTAACAGTAACACAAGCATAGATGTCAGCAAGACATCAGCAGGAAACACGGCCGACCGTCGACCGCGCTGCTATCGCTTGTTGGCCAACCAGGCCACGGTTTGCGCTTCAGCTCTGGCTCGAGACGCGCCCGAGTACACGAGCCTGCTGGAGTGGGCTGTCGATCGCGTCGGCCTGCACGACAATCAACAGTAGGTTACGGATAGACGCCGTAGGAGTCGCTTCCTGGCCCCGGCTCTCGGGATATTGTCAAACCTTCGAGAGCATGATCCAACTGACTAGGTCAACCACGTGCCGCGGATCATCATTGTGATTCCTGCTTGTTGACGGCCTCTAAGGCCGCACCGAGGCTGTCATTTTCTATCGGAAATTTCTATGGCGTCAATAGCCAATGACGAGTTACATGCGCCTCATTGCCAAGATCTTACTGCTCATTTTTTCGGACCCTCCCTCCCCAGGTACAGCCAAGGCATCGACTACCTTCCAATGCAGGACGACCAGCGAAGTCAGGGATTACCGAACCTTATGGATCATGGTGTTACATTGCATAGACCGGGCGAGCTGTGTGGTCTGTGTTTATTCTAGGAGGTATATAACAGCTGCGTTCTCCAGACTTCAGCGAGATCTGCAGGACTCGTTTTCTCGCCGTGCCGACATTCGACTCGTCAGCAGCTGAGTGTCAATATGGGTAAAGTCAGCTCCCTTGCCGTGGTGGCAGCTTTGCTGTCTGCCGCCGCCGCTCAGACCTTTCGCCGACTGGGCGCCTGCCCCGATCTCGGCTGCGTGCTGCCTCCAGATCAGTCCGACTTCCTCCCGGGCCAGTACTTCGACTTACGTTTCGAGGTGCACGCCCCGGTGAACGGCTCCGAGGCGTTCAACGACGGTGTTCCGGACGAGAACTTCTCGGCCACGATCACGAAGGAGGGCGGTGAGACGAAGAGCGTCGCTGAGTTTTTCGGCCTCGACGAGCCTGAGCTTGAGAAGTGGGACTTCTCGTGGTACGAAGACCTCTTCGCCCAGGACGCCGGCACTCCATCTGTCGTCAACGTCGCCTCCAAGATCTACCGGAAGCTTGCCATCTACGAGCCCGGTAACTATGCGATCACGCTAAGCTACTACGGGGACCAGAAGACGGTGGCCAACTGGGTCGTCCGCCCTCTGGCTACGAGGAAGAAAGCCAAGAACGTCATCCTGTTCATTGGTACGAGCCATCGCCTGACCCTGGCTGAAGTCGATGTATTGACAATTGGTAATAGGTGACGGCATGACCACGAACATGATCACCGCTGCCCGTCTCCTCGCCCACAAGAGTATCAACGGGAAATACCAATCTCTGCTGCAGATGGACAAATTTCCCGTCCTTGGACACCAGATGGTAATGCCGCACGCATCCCCGTAGCAATCTTGAGACGGCGCTAAGCATCATTTTTGCAGACACACTCGATTGACAGCTTCATCACTGACAGTGCTAATTCGGCCTCCGCTCTCTACACCGGGCACAAGAGCACCGTCAACGCCATGGGGTGAGTTTCGAAATTTCATCCTCGTTAGCGTTATTAGCTCGTAGCTAACATAAATGCGTAGTGTCTATGTGGACTCGTCTGCCGACTTCTTCGATGACCCGAAGGTTGAGACGATTGTGGAGCTTCTTAAGCGCACTTGGGTACGTGATGGGAGTGGGGGGAGAGTATCACGGAGATAGAAACCACAATCCCGATGCTAATCGATCACGCCAGGATTCCGCTTGGGGTGCCGTTTCTACCGCCGCCATCGCTGATGCTACTCCTATCGCTCTCACTGGTCACAGCCGTTCTCGGTATGCCTATGGCGCTCTCGTCGAGCAGGGTCTGAACTCGGTCGCCAACTACTCCTGGACGAACCAGGGTGGCCCCGACGTCTGGTTCGGTGGCGGTGCCGAGCAATTTTACCCCGGTAAGGACAGCTTCGAGGGCAAGGATTACTACGAAGCCTTCGCCAACGCTGGCTACGACATCAGCTTGAATAAAACCTCTCTGTTGGAGCTTGGAAACAGCAGCAGGGCCCTCGGGATCTTCTGCCGGTCTCACTTCCCCGTCTGGTTGGACCGAAATGTTTTCACCGAGAACCTGGCCTCGTTTAAGAACGACCCTCGCGGTTCGGACGACCCGGCCCTTGATCTTCCCGGCCTCAAGGAGATGACTCTCAAGGCCATCGACATCCTGAGCCACCGTGGCGGTGACAAGGGCTTCTTCCTCATGTCGGAGGGCGCCTCCATTGACAAGCAGATGCACGCTCTCGACTACGACCGCGCTCTCGGTGACCTTCTGGAGCTCGACGACACGATCCGCGCTACTGTCGCCCACCTCAAGGCCATCGGCGAGCTTGAGAGCACGCTGATAGTCGTCACTGCCGACCACGGCCACGGCTTCGACGTTTTCGGTGGTGTCGACACCGCGTATCTCTCGGAGCAGAAGACGGACCGCCAGAAGCGCAAGGCGGTCGGCATCTACGAGCAGTCCGGCCTGTCGCAATACACGACGCCGGTGGAAGGCCTCTCTTACGGCACAGGCCCGAACTTCCCGGTGAACTGGGACCCGCGATACACGCTTGCCCAGGGCTTCTCGGCCAACCCCGACCACCGGGAGAACTACCGGGTGCACCAGACGCCGCGCAGGATCGTCAGCAGCACCCCAGGCTTCGACGACGACGACCTATTCGTGAACGCGAAGGACAGCCCCGACGGCTTCATCGTCAACGGCACGCTGCCCGTCAGCGAGTCGTCAGGCGTGCACTCGCTCACCGACGTGGCTGTATTCGCCATGGGCCCCTGCCAGGAGACCTTCGGCGGCGTCTACGGCAACATCGACATCTTTTACAAGATGGCCGAGTGCCTCGGCCTTGCCCGCCCCGACAACAAGCCGCCCGCCGATCCCAATAACGGCTGCGGCAGCACGAAGCACTAAGGGTGTTTCCCGGAAGAAACAAAAACTCTATAAACTGATGCGATAATTAGCAATACGAACATAGCGATCGGATAAATGTGTGTGTGCACAAGTAATTGGGACATAAGAAGCATATGAGGGCGTACGGAAGGTGGAAACGAGACGGACCAAAAAAAAAAGAAAGCAACCAACAGCGACGGCATAGAGACGACGAACGCGGCGAGTGCAGGTGTGCGTGGCGGCAACGAGGAACGAAGACGACGACGACGACTATGAGACAGACGGTGCTGCGCCAGCCGGACCAGGGCGTTGTTGCTGTCCTCCTTGTACATAATTTTATAATGCCTAATGCACGCCGGCTTAACGGTCTTCCCTATGTGTCGAGAATAGTATGGGGTCTTTCCCCCCTTTCCTTTGGTTGCTATGTGCACAGCGACTGGATGAGAGCCTATGAGCCCAGAAGTAAGGGTGCGAGTAAGGCGTGGGACAGGGGAGTTATCTATAGGCACATGTCGACTCCCTACGGGCTTACACATTTTCACCTCGGTAACGTCGCAGGCTGTCGGAGCAAATCGCCCGGTTGAAAACGCCAACAACGACTGCGGCGCCGGGCAAGGCTCCTTTCCTTACTCACTTGCTAGTTGGCCCTTTAGACACGGCACGGTGCCGCGCAGCAGTGCCCCGGCCGACATACCCACCCGCCGCCCCGGTAGCTGAGACGAGACCGGGCCGCGTACAACGGTTTCGTCTCCGATGGCTCTCATTTCCTGTTTATCTACACCTACCCGTCGTGCGAACGCTCGCATATATACCTAGGTAAGTATATCCGCCTCGCCTTCGCACGCCTTGCCTCGCGTCATCCGCGGCATTTGGGCCGCGGGCGAACAGAATTGTACTTTCGACATACCCTGGGCCCAGCTGAAGCAGCTGAATACTAGGACTCCCGCCTGATTAGTGGCATGCTTTCGCCGACATGCTATGCACCCACATGACCCGGACGATAAGGAGGGTTGCAGCGGGCCGTGAGCAGGCGAATCAGGCGCCCTGCTGAGGCCTTGGGTGTCAGGGCTGGAGGCCAGGGGGTTCCTCTCGTCAGGCTGCGTGCGCACCACACACACGTGTGCGAATCGCGGTGGTTGGAGTGTCCCGGGGGCAGTGACGATAGCTTCGCGCCCTAGCTCCTTGGTGCAGCGCCGCCCGATGTTGCATCCCGGTCGATCTATTGCTCACCCGCCGCAGCTAATCGAATGCTTGAGATTCGTCTAGCGATAACAACGTCTTCGACTAGGCGGCCAGGGCCGGGCCCTTGCTCGCCGTGAGGCTCTGCCTCTGCTAGCTCTCAGAGGCGAGGGGGCGAGGAGGGCTCCAGGCGCTGGCCTGTCTGGATTGGCTACCCGAGGCTGTATGTCGACATGTCCTCTGGGTGGCTTTCATCTTTCTCTCTTCCCCCTCTCCCTCCCTCCCCTCCGTCGCTCCGTGCTGTCTGTATCGGTTAACAAATTCCGACACAGTCCACGCACAACAGCGAAAATGATATTCGGCACACGGCTTCTGCTATTTGCTGCGCTGCAGATCCGTGGCCGAGCCGCAGGTGCCGCGCTAATAATACCATCCGCGACGGCTCCATCCACTCCCGAGTCGGCCCCAGTGCCGACGCCCCCTCCCCTCGCTGGCTTGGAAGCAAGGGATCGGGCCGCCGGCCTCTGCGGGTACTACAATGGCGATCGCGGTAGGTAGTGGCGGTGTTTCCTCTTACCTTCTTGTGTCCGTAACGACTAACCAGGAGACAGCGGTCCCGTTTATCTGCAACGCCGGCTACGCGTGCGTAGGCGACAGCACCTGGAATGCTGTCGGCTGCGTCTCGATGGGGCCTCAAGGACAGCTCCTAGGCGTGGTTCCCACCTACTGCATCGACTACTCCGGCTACACGGCGGGGATGTGCAACAACATGGGTTCTCGCACTGGATGCTGGTAACGAGAGCTGCCGACCCTCGAAACCTGAAGGGCTAACATGCTAACGTACGCGCGACACAGCTACGATCCCAATTTCCCAGCCTGCATCGGCAACACCTACACCGGGTCCAAGTTCGAAGGGTACACGGCGTTTCGGTGCGGCGCGAGTTACCTCAACCAGGGCTACCTCCTAGCCTGGGAGGCCTCCACCTCGGGCGTGTCCGCGACGACGGTGCTCATCGCCCTGGCGGGGACCAACGTGCCCGCGTCCCCCGACACGGCCGAGGCTGCGGACGGCGGGGGCCTCTCGACGTCCGACAAGATCGCGCTCGGCGTCAGCCTGCCCGGCACGATCGCCGGCATCCTCGGCGCGTGGTACGCCTACAAGGCCATAAAGCGGAGGCGCGCCAACGCAGCGCGGCCAGACAGCCAGGTACTACTGACGTAGGAGGGGCGCGAGACGGCTAACGGGAGGCCGACGCGCCTCAAGGGGAGAGTTGGGGTACGAGGAGGGCAGGACGGCGTGTTTTATATCCGGACGGCGGGTTGCTGTTTCGTTAGAGGGATGTCGTGGACGACGTGTCCACAACCCCGGAGAGTTATACCCTAATGTTGCAGAATGGGGATGGTGGTTCCGAGACTGGCTGCGTAACATCTGCGCCTTGTCGAAGTCGTGGCCTCCCGGGGCAGCAGGCCAGGCGGCCTATGAGTGGCGGACCGTTATGAGGCGACATGTAATATCATGATACATCCATATCCGAAGTTCGTATATAGGTGGGGAGATAGCGAGGAGATTCCGAGCAGGATACTGCTTCGGGTGTAATGGGAAGCGTGGTCTGGGCCTTAGAGATAGATGCATGGTTATATCCCTTTCATGTCTGAACGGCTCTCTCGTTGTTACTCCCTCGACCTACATATACGCTTTGTAAGAAGTTATTCACCCCCCACCCCCTCCCCCGTCGTAGCCCTAGGGGTTATTATAATATCATGCCAACAGGGAGCTGATTTCTAGATCTACTATGGGGGAATGATTGGCCGGAAAACTCCGCGGGGGGCGTAATAACCCCCGAACGAGTCCTCCACGGGCCCTCAACGTGGATCCTGTTCATCACTCCTTTCTCCATCGCTTGTTTTCTGTCGGCCATACGGGGACGTCTTGGCACCCAGGCCATGGGGGACTTGCCTAGGAAAATCCCAAGTATTAATGCCCAGCAACACCCCCTTGCCAATTGTGAGGTCAACCTTTAGCCAGGTACTCGGCGGTGTGTCCCACAGTGTAGCAATAATATCCAACTATGGTTGTATTCGACATCATGAATAGTCTAGAGTGCTGACAACATCATGGTTCTTCACCCTGTGCTCCCGCAGAGCAGCCGCTAAGGGTTCCGCAAGGCGAGCACATGTATCGGCTGAAGAACGCATTGCAATACTTCATCTAGAGACTTACCATTCCAAGGAAATACCGCTATTAGCAGTCTATCGCGATGCTCCTTCGGCATAGCTTCCCCATTGAGAGGAGTTTCCGTGTGCCTCCTGGCCTCTTCCAATGTCCGGTGATGATCGGGTGCCGACCCTAATGTCTATTCTCTCTAGCGCCTGCTATTTGCCGGCTTCTACTGCGCCGGCAAGGAAACCCCGGTTGCCTCGCGCCTGGGCGTCAAGTGCATGCGTAGTTGTGGTTGTCGTAGAGGCACCGAATGGCATGTTGGCTCCAAAAGCGGAGTTCAGGTCTCAAGACCCAACTAGGTAGGCATGCCTATCTATGTGCGTGGCCATCGTCGTTACCATCAACGCATGCGTGAACGATTGGGTAACACCTGCCCAAGGCCGTCAATACCACCCCGAAAGTAGAAGTGAGATATGATGAGCTTGGCTAGAGTTAGGAGAGTTAACTAGTTTTGTGTGCCCTCGGCATCCCTCAGGTTGTGCACCAACAACTCAGTAAGACGAGGACTGAACTGACAGTATAAGACTCCTATTTTTGCACAACTATTAGATAGTTCCAGTTCGACTCATCTCTTTGAAAGGCTCGGCCTTCAAAGTCATTTGATGTTTCTACGGAGATTGTGCGGGGGTAAATACGATCTAGATACGTGTGAGTGACTTTGAAGACAGGGCTTACCTATGATCTAGACATGCCAGGAGCCTTAATACACAGCTCGCGCCCTAATACTTGCTCAGCTTATAAACTTGTCATCGGCTCATCGTCACATCGACCAGGTTCGCCAAGGCTTGCTTATGTTTTGAACACGAAAGCAACCCGAGTGTGAGGTATCAATACTTGCCCGCTGGTGGAACTGGGCCTCAGAACTGGGCCTTGATCCGGCTGTCGTATTTTCTGTCGTATTTGCCGGCCCCTCTCCTGTCTCTATAAGTTAAGATAGAATGGATGGGGCGTTCCTCACATACATGCGGGTGCGAGGCAGCCGTCGAGAGAGAGATGCTGCCATGGATCAGACCTGGTCTATGGTGGCATCGTAGGGAAGGGACCTGATATATGTAATATTATATGTATAGGCCCCTAGCTTTATGCACTGGCCTGCATGCCCCATCACATCGAGCCATAAGCCCTTCAGACGAGACCGTTCGTATGGCCAGGGCAGATGATACCCTCACACACCCACGCGTCAGGAACAAGCATCGCCTCAGGGCCAGAATTTTAAAGTTTGGTCGAATGCGACGGCTACAAGCTCTACGACTGTAGACGAAGCCAGAGATTCGGCATCTACGGTGGTATCGCGTTGCTAGAGCGTCAAATGGGGGAACTTGCCACGTTCCATGCGTTCGCTTGACCAGGCCTAGTTTCGTAAAACACACACATCCGTGTGGGCTTCGGACCTGATGCGAATGGGGCCTCTCGCAAAACTCGCACAATGCTCGTATAGCATCGTAACGGATTATAATACCCCTCCTCGCCGTTGGCCACTCTCTTGATCGGCCGGGAGGCGTAGCCTACTGACGCCGTGCATTAATTACGTGAAACCCCTATGGTGATCGTCGGCCCGTAGGTATATGGGAATAGGTAGCATGGGATGTGCGGCACATGCGAGATAGCGTGTCGAATCAAGGAGGCAGGATTGGAAATCTCGTCGACTGCGGTGAAAAGACTCGTCACCTATAGGCCCCGAAAGGGGATATAGACGCAATGTGTTTATATAATATCAAGGCAGTTGAATTATGGGCTTAAATACCCAACTTCACCCGCCGTGGTATTGCGGCTGGGTTGCTTTCCGCTCATGCTCGATTCGCTCGTTGCAATCTATTACTGTGATACAGCTATCGCGATCTATTCCCAGTAGCCATAAAGTCTGCTCTCCTTCCGATCGCCCTCAGCGTAACCCTAGCGGTGGCCCAATCCCCCCCGGGTCACCCGTGGATCGCCCCCGGACCGGACGACTATACGGTAGCCAACTACCCGGGGTACTGCGCTGCTGTGTGCTGACGCGCTATTACACAGTCCGAGGACCTTGCCCGATGATGAATACGCTGGCCAACCACGGCTACCTGCCACACGACGGCAGAAATGTCACCGAGCAGGTGGTGGTCAATGCTATGGAGTCGGCGCTGAACTTTGAGGAGCCTCTCGGCTGGTTGATGTTCCGGATGGCTGTCTTCGCTGACCCGGAGCCCAATGCCACGTTCTTCACCCTGTAAGACCATATTGCAACGCACCAGGCGACGACATGTGTCGGTTTCGCCAGTGCCCGTACCAAGTGCTGACTGCTATTCCAATAGCGACCATCTGAACGTCCACAATGTTCTGGAGCACGACGCCAGTCTCAGGTAAGCCTTCGTGTCCGGCACTATCTTAAGCCTACCGTTCCCGCAGGTCTAGACATATAACTTCAACTTTACAGCCGTACGGACGCGGCGTTTGGATACAACCACATCTTCAACCAGACCATCTTCAACCAGACCCGAGTCTACTGGACTGGCGAGATCCTTGACGCGGACATGCTCGCCAACAGCAAGGTTGCCCGCCAGCTGCACTCCAAGGCCTTCAACCCCGACCACACCTTCACGCCCACGATAGAAAACTTCAGCCTCGGGGAGGTCTCCGCGCCCATCGTCGCTTTTGGCGACTTCCCGTCCGTCACTGTCAACCGGACCCTGGTCGAGTATTTCCTCCGTAAGTCCCACCTCCGTCCCGGCCCCCTGCTAATATATCGACGCTCGCCCGTTTACCGAGACTAATCGCGTATCGTAGTAAACGAGCGTCTGCCGACGGAACTTAGCTAGAGTATACGGGACTCGCCCGTAACCTTACTAGACATCTTCACGCTAATGCAGGCTATCCACAACGCGTCCAGCCTCCTCACCGGAACCGAGTCGGCTGCTCCGTCTCGGCGCCAAAACCTTCACGCCGGTATCTTCGCGTGATCTGCATCGTAATTGTCGGTATCAGGTGCTCCCCGGTTTTGAGGAGAGCACAACGGAGAGCCAGAAGAGGGGAGAAAACAAGAGGGTTCCGCAGGCAACGGGTTGTCATGCAGGCTCTTGTATATGTACCGTTCGCAGTTCTGGCAGGATCCCATCGAACCCGAGACTATATCGGCCTAGATTTCAATAATACAGGCTCGTCGAACCCCACATGCGTCTTTCTGTGTCGGCTTAGAGGGTGAAGACACCCGGATAGAGGGACATCCCGTCACGAGCTACGGCTAGCAACCATTCGCTTAGGAAAATCCGCCAAAGAGTGGCCCACTTATAGGGGACGGGGGGAAGGGATCTATTACCTGGCGTGTGAAAACCCCGATTCTGCTCGCACTAATGGACGTGTAAACCCTCGTTTTCTCGTCTTGTCCTGAACACTGTGAGGAGGGTGTTCACATCGTGGTGATGCCAACCCTACTCGCTGCTTGCTATTCCCCCAAACCAGGGGCCCTCTGGGTTTTGACGCCTCCTATTAGCAATATCGCCATTATAACATCTTGCAAGGACACGACACACTTGGCGCAACGCTTCGCACGCGAAAGAGAATTAGACCCTGTAAGTGGTTAGTGCCCCTTAGTGTACTTAACTAATACATGAATACCCAGATTTATGTGAGATCAGTAGGTTATTTAACGAAGGATAGGTTCGATTCCTAACAGCGCTACTTGGTAGTCTTCGCTATTTAGCCCATCTATGTGGATTTAGTTGCTTATCGTGCAGCTGGTCTCGCGGCTTACCTTGCGGCTTACGGCGCAGTGGGTCGGGTGTAATGAGGTGTAAGAGGGTATTGCCAGAACGGGAAATGAGAGCTGGAGGTATAAAAGCGGGTAAATGCTGCTAAAGCCTGTCTTGAGAGCAACAGGAATGCCTCTCTATCCATGAAGCCGGGAACTTTCGAATATCCCGAGGCGGTTCGTTGAAATCCCAATATTATCGTAAAACATCCTCCCAATCGTTCGATCATGGCGCCGACTGTAGTCCTCATCACCGGCACGACGCGAGGCATCGGAAAGGGCCTCCTGGAGCTCTACTTGGCTCGGCCGAGCCACCTCGTCGTCTCCGCCAACCGCGATCCCGACCTCCCCGCATCCCGGGCCCTCTCGGACCTCCCCACGGCCGAAGGCACCTCGCACGTCTTCTTGAGAATAGACGCCAGCCAGCCCGATCACCCGGCCCAGGCCGTAGCGGAGCTCGCGGCGAGGGGGATAGATCACGTCGATATCCTCATCGGCAATGCCGCCGTGGGCCTATGCTGGCCCAAACTGTCCGGGGTCAAGACCGACGACATACAGAAGCACGTAGACGTCAACGTGTACGGCTTCGTGTGGCTCTACCAGGCGTTCTTGCTCGTTATCAAGCGGTACAAGAGGCCTACTTGGGTGACGATCGGCTCCTCTGCGGCATGGCTTACGGTGCGCTTCGTTTCCCTACCCTCTCTCTTGCTCACGCCTTGTTTGCGGGCAATCATACTGACTCGAAGATGCAGTGAGTCGTTGTTTGCAAGTATTGGCACGAGCCGCATCTGCTAAACCGTTGTAGGAACATGATCGAGTACGCAAACGCGGCCTACGGACCGACGAAGCTCGTCGGGCACTACTACACGGGGACGATGCACTGGGAGGAGCCCGGGATTTGCGCCTTTCCCATCGATCCCGGGTGAGATGAGAGATATTAACAGTTGAAATTGCGCGCGTAATTATGCGATTGCTAACCAAGTCGACAGCTGGGTGCAATCGGACCTCGGGAACCGTGCCGCCGGGCTGTTCGGCATAGACGCGGCGCCGATCACGGTCTCGGATAGCGTCAACGGGATCGTCAAGGTCGTCGACGTCGCCGCGAAGGAGACGCACGGCGGGAAGATGTGGGTATATGACGAAAGACAGGTGCCGTGGTAGCTTGACGTGTTTGTATAGGAGCGTTGAGAAGAGAGATTGAATTTGCTCTTGTTGGATCACAGGTAGACTAGGAGGCGGTGGAATAGCCCGAGGTCAACTCGGCTGTGCGCAGAATGCCAAGTTTAGTAACTCAGATAGATGACCGACGAGTAAGTAGAGTGCCGATTAGCGCGCTGAGTGATACCTGTGAGACACGTATCTGAATGCCTCCGTGCCTGGTAATATTCATGTCTAACTATTCTCCGCCCCGACCGTCTAATCTAAGACAAGCGAATCCTTCTGGCGATACAACCGCTGAATGGAGTGCGCGACGAAAGGCGGGGGTAGGGGGGAGGACTTATTCCTCTTATAGACGTACCGGGCCTGCGGTCGCCAGTGTACCAAATTGCGATCGTCAGCCGAAACCGCCCGGATAAAGGAAATGCTCGAATGATCTACCCCGAGAGATCTGACCGAGAACACCGATGCCTCCAATTCTCGAACGCGGGGGCGATCGTATGACCAAAGCCCGCAGGGCCATCTGATCCACTCCCCCCCCCCCTCTGGTCGCCGGGGACCGAGTCGTATATATATATGTATACCTTGTAGCTGAACGACCACCCCTGCGCTGGCGAGTGCGGGATCGCCATAGTCTCCAGACTCGCGGCAGGAGGCGCAAAATATCTAGAGAATACCCCGGCGAAGAATAACGGGGATGGCGTCGCCCGCGTTGAAGCACCAGTACACGGTCCGCACCGGCTCGGTCCAACCTAGCGATGCTATTACATAGGTACGACAATACGTCCTGTGCGGGTAGACCGATTACGGCTACTAGGAGGACACGCAGCAACTGGCGACTAGCTATCAATCTCTATGAACGACGAGACGTCGGTGAACCAGAAGTTCAGCATGCCCTCGAGGCGGTGGCAGCTCCAGCCCTCCTCGCCGCGGTGACCGTGGTCGCCGGCACCGTCCCGCAGCGCCACCTCGACGGCGTACGCGGTGCGGCGGGGGCCGCGCGCGCGCGTCTCGAGGCGGTGGCAGAGGCCCCGCGGCTCTGCGACGCGCGCCGTCGCGTCGACGTGCACGCGGCACTGGCCGAGCGCGCGGCGCGCCCCGCCGCGGTACCGCAGCAGCAGCCCGCGGCAGAAGCGGCCGCCCTCGTCGTAGAACAGCTCGGCTGCGGCCACGCCGGCCAGCGGCGCGCGCGCGAAGTACGCGCCGTCGCCGAGCGGGTGCGCCCGCGGCTCGAGCGCCGCGAACGGCGGCTCTGCCGGCGCGTCGGGGGCGCCGGGCCTCGTCCGGCTCGCCGCTGCTGCCCCCGCCGGCCGCACGCACGCACCGAAGAACGGGATGGGGCGTCCCTGGAGCGGCTCGCTGTAGACGAGGGTGATCGGGGGCCCGGTAACCGCGCGGTTTACCACGTGGTCGCGCGCGGGTCCAGGGAGGTAAGGCCCGATGACGACATCGGGGAGGCCGTGGGCGGCGCCACGCTGGGTGCGGGCGAGGATGGCGGGGCTGCTAGGAGCTGGGGAGCGGCGCACGCCCAGGGCCAGCAGGGGGTCGTGCCGAGGCGCGAGCGGCAGGTAGACCCAGACCATGGTGCGGCGGCGGGCGCGCGAGAAGCGGCGGAAAGCGGGCGTCGCGTCGGGCGCGTGCGGCACGTGCACGTGCACCCCGAAGAGCGCGCCCGCCGAGAAGAAGAAGGTGATGCCCGTGGCGCGGTGGTCCGCGTCGACCGCGAAGAGGCGCGCCGGCGACAGTCCCGTGGCGCCCCGCATGAACGTCTCGCAGCGCGGCATGTCCGGCGGGTTCGGCGTGTTCCAGATGCGCGGTGCCGGCGCCGGCTGGCCGCGTGGCAGCACCAGGCGCAGCAGGCCGTCCTGGGGTATGTAGGTGAGACTCATGCGACGTTAGGTGTTTCGGGGCTGGGTGGGTATTGGCGGAGGGGGTAGGGTGGAGAGAACTGCGGCGCGTACCTTGAACTGGGCCTCGAGCTTGGCGATCGCCTGCTGGTCCTCGACGACGTAGGCGAAGGCGCCGCGGGAGAATACCTCGGGAGACGGGGGCGAGGGGCGCTCAACCCTTCTAATGCCGTCGGAGTCGATGGTCAGTTGCATGGTCGAGCTCGAGAGCGGCGGGCGGCCGGGGTCGCGCCTCTCGAGCTCGCCGCCGCGTTCCCAGAAGAGGATGTCGTCGAGCGACAGCGTAAGGAGGGGGTTCGGCGAGGTGGCCGACACGCGCGCGGCCAGACTGCGCGCCGAGATGGCGCGCCATAGCAAGGCGTGCTCGGAATAGCGCCGGACCATCTCGAGCAGCTCGGTCGGGAGCTCGTACAGCTGCGGCAGGCGGGCGATGTCGGCAATGGCCCTGAGGGAGTCGGCCTCGAGCGTCTCGCTCGCCAGGTAGATAGGGGGGGCGCGGCGCCAAGGGCTCCTCCACGCGGCCACGGTCCAGAGCCGTGCCGAGGCGTCGACGCCCTCGCCGCAGCACTTCCGGAAGACCTCGAAGCAGTCGCAGTGTATGGGCATAAACTGGGGCGAGGCGGCGCACCGCTTGCAATCGGGGAACCGACAGAGCCGAAAGCCGTTGACGCTAGCGACCGAGCGGGCGGCGTCCGGGAAGGGGAACGGCTCGGTCCGTCCCAGGTACGAGCTCGAGTCGTCCTCCTTGCCGAAAACTAGCGCCACGTCAGCATCACTCTCGGAAACGCAGCCCAGCTAGGGCGGCAGGGGGCGCAGGGGGGGCATCGACGCACGTGCTACGACTCGCTCATGTCTGAAGATCATGTCGGTGCAGGCGCCGCATTGTGGATAGAGGGCGAGGTGGTGCATCGTATGGGTAATGGTGAATTAGCTGTTATCTGCAAGATGAAATCCGCAGGATGGTGAATGGCGGGAGGTGAAGGGAGAAACCCCCCTTCCCCCCCCCCTGATGCAGGCGGCGGTGAGAAACGCTGTGTTGTCATTAGGAGACGAGTGAGATCGAGCTGCATGAATTGTCCGTAGGGACCAGGTCAGAGGGCGAGGAGGAGATACACGCGTGTATGTACCCGGTGCGAATACTACCAGCGACACGGTACCGCCCAGTTCATTTCGTAGCTTTCCTCACCGGGCGACGTCTTCTGTCACAGTGCCGTCCCTCGTTGGCTGGTCAACGCTTCTACTTATTCCCTTATTCCTGTTGGTATAAGGTCCTAGGGGTGAAATGAAGCGATTCCCATGAGCGTCATGCGATATTCTCAAGAAAAGTGCGTATAGCGTTGTAATTCTTCTCGCATCGCCATCACCATTAATGCGTCTTATGAGAGGGGAATAGGCGAGTCGTGACCGTTAACATCATAACATCATGGAAACCTAGTAATTTACACATAGAGTCCCTTGCTCCGTCCCTCTCCAGCTAAGTTTTCGGTAAATATCTTTTTTCATCCCGCCTGAGTTTCATTTTGATCATACGCTAAACAGACCCGAGGGAATAATGCCATTCTGCCCTGCTGTCATTCTCACCCGGACCTACATTACCACACTTGTACCTGCTCATAGCGTCACCAAAGCTGGCAAATACAAATTCATCTTTTCCAAATTTCGTGCAATGGATGCCTCTCGCCGTCACAACGTACACACCATAATGGCGCGTGGAGATTGAAGTGGTTTCAGTTCAGGTCTTGCACGAGGCTTTCCACCTCGCATCGCCGTGGGTAATCTTGAGCGCGGCGATCACCCGATCCGCTGCGAGGAAGTCCTCTAACGCGCACGAGCCGTACTCGTCGCTCGCGCAGCCGGCCGGGCCGAGGCCGAAGTTGGCGCCGTTGAGCACGAGCTGGATCCTGCTCTCTTCGCCCCTAGCGCCGCACTCCAGCCGCTTCCAGAGCATGTACGCGGCGAACGGGGTCTGCTCGGCGGACCGCCAGGCCCTCGCGGGGTTGACGGGACCCGTGATCGGGTAGTCAGCATCGGTGGCGAGCCCGAGGGCGGCGATGCCGAGGGCGATGGTCTTGTCGTGGCCGAAGGCGAGCGCGAGGGGCGGGCCGTGGTCGCGCCGCAAGAACGCCGTCGCGTTGCCGACGAGCAGGCTGCCCAGTAGTGGGCCCATGTCGCCGGGCAGGCCGTAGCCAGCGAAGCCGCGCATCCGCAGGTCGTACTCGTACTCATTGTGCAGGATCTCGTCGGGCGCGAACACAGGGCACCAGGGCGACGAGCCGACACCCGACACTGCGGTACCGTACGCGCACGCGTACAGCATCCCGTGGACGTGTGTCGCATTGAAATTGGCGCCCGGGAACGCGGCCGCTAGCAAGCCGTTGACGCGCGCTGCGATCGGCGGCAGGTAGACGACACCCCACTGGTTGACAGGCGCCCGCCCGAACCCCGAGTCCCACGCGTCGCACGTCTCGAAGGGCGTGAGCCAGCTCACCGTTTCGTTGTCTTCGGGGACAGGAACCAGCGTCGCAGCCGAATCACGGCCGTAGTAGCCGTACATGAACCACCGCGCGGACTCGACGACACGGTCCTCGTCGGCCGCTAGCACTTCCGTCTCAGTGTATAGCTCCGGGTACTCCAGACGCAGCGCGACACCGTGGTCGAAGAGCTGCTGCCGGCCGGGTGCCGTGAGGATGTCGCTCGTGAAGGTATTGTTCCACCCTTCGCCCAGGAAGGACCAGCCATCTGGGATCGGCGCGCGGGGGTTCGAAAACAGGTCTCGATTTTTATGAATGTGGCGCTCGAGCTCCTCGATGACTGCGAGCTCATCTGGATGGGGGTGTCGACTACCATGCCGGTGAACAAGAAACAGCTTTGACACAGTGCATCCTGGCGGTGTTCCCTGAGCCAGCGACCCTGGTGTGTTTGGTGGGACGAAGAAAGGGGAGAGGTTCCCTAGGTGCTCGTAGAGTTCGAATTGATCGGGCGCGCACGATGGCCCACCGACAAGAACTCGAGATGCGACGTCGAGTCCCCATAGCCGCAAGGTCAGTACTGCCGCTATTGCCAAACTGACGGCGGATGCGACACGCCATCGCCGGCTCCCATCGCGTCGCCAACGGGGGGTTGCGTGTGTCTCCTCATTCACTTGACGCTCCCGATGTTTAGTATCCATGATCTCGATGTTACCGGACTTGAAGAACCAAGAAGCGACTATCAATATCGATATATCGGGGAAGCAACCATAGCCTTCCAGCCTGATAATCAGTACCACCTCGTTGGGCACCAAATCTAGAAAGGAGGAATCATTCGGGCCTGGTCAACAGGATAGGGCTGGTTAGAAATGTCGCCCGGAACTCGAGCGAGAAGAAATGCGACGACACACGTGGGTTGTCAGATGGGACGGTCGATCGGGCAGGTATTAATTGGTGGCGGGATAGCTGCGACGAGAGGGAAAGGGAGAGGAGAGTCCAAGGGGAGAGGGGGCGAACGCAAAGGCGACATAAAGTAATGTCAGGTATTAACCATTCACAACTCTCGTCCCACCGGGTTCTCATCGGACTCACATCGGACCTCTCGCTGGGCTCTCACCTCGTTCGGGAGGACACGTGACTGTTGAATAGTCCTTGGAGTGGGAAGCCGGGAGGGGGGAAGGAGGGGAAAGGGGGGAAGATCGAAGCCGGGATCGTGATTTGCTCGTTGGTTCGTCCGTCTCGTTGTCCCTTTTAGGTACGCCAAGTCCTCGCTATCTGCACTATACGCGATAATTCATGGATGTGTGCCGGAAAGAGGTGTGAGAGGGTTAGCAGAGAGAAGAGCTCGGCACGGGGAAATGCGTCTTCTAGCTATACTTCCTTGATGGATGCGCCTGGGCTAAGTACATAAGCGGTAAATAGTGTAATATTAGGTATGGCTATTTGCGATAGGGGTAAGTGCTCAAGTCACGACTATAATAAAGCAGTTGGGTAGAATAATACCTACGCGGTCTACCCAATGCCCTGTCCCCTACCTTCATACCTCAGTAGCTCCGCGGCAGCTGCAGGACCTTCTCGCTGATATAGTTCATGATCATCTCCCGGCTCACGGGTGCGATGCGCGGAACGAGGCACTCCCTCAGCCACCTCTCGACGTCGTACTCCATAGCGTAGCCCATGCCGCCGTGCGTCATGACCGCGCGCTCGCACGCGGCGAACGCGGCCTCGGCGGCGAGGTACTTGGCCGTGTTGGCGGCGACACCTACTGCGTCCTGCCGGATGGACGGGTCGGTGCGGCTCGCGTCGTAGAGCCGCGCGGCGTGGTAGGTGGTGAGCTTGGCGGCCTCGAGCTTCATGTACGCGTCGGCGAGCGGGTGCGCGACGCCCTGGTTGGCGCCGATCGGGCGGCCGAAGACGACGCGCTCGCGCGCGTACGCCGCTGCCCGCCCCAGCGCCGCGTATCCGAGCCCGAGCGCCTCGCCCGCCAGCAGGCACCGCTCCGCGTTCATGCCGTGCAGGATGATCTTGAAGCCCTGGCCCTCGGCGCCGACGAGCGCGTCCGCCGGGATGGCGTAGTCGTCGAAGAACACCTCGTTCGCGTCCACCGCCCGACCGCCCATCTTCTTGATCCGCCGCATCTCCAGCCCCGGCGCTTCCTTATCCAGGTCGATGCAGAAGAGCGACAGCCCCTCGCTCGGCTTCGCGACCGCCTCGAGCGGCGTCGTGCGCGCCAGCAAGATCATCTTCCGCGCCACCTGTGCGCACGTAATCCAGATCTTCTGGCCGGTAACGCGGTACGAGCCGTCGGCCTGCTTTGTAGCCATCGTCCGTAAGTGCAGGGTGTCGAGGCCCGTGTTGGGCTCCGTCACGCCGAAGCAGGTCCGCCACCGGCCGGAGATGATGTTGGGGATCGTGCTCTCAAGCTGGGCCTTGGTGCCGAACTTAGCGAGCGGCTGCGTCGCGTAGACGTTGGCGTGGATAGCCTGCGCGCCCGCCATACCGGCGCCCGACTCGGCGATGGTCTGCATCATCATCGCCGCCTCGGAAATGCCGAGCCCGGATCCGCCCAGGTCCTCGGGCAGCGCTATGCCGAGCCAGCCGCCCTCGGCCATGGCGGCGTGAAATTCCCTCGGGTCCTCCTCCTTCACGTCATGCTCCTGCCAATAGGTGTTTGGGAAGCCGGAGCATACGGCGCCGACCGCATCCCTCACCGACAGCTGCGTCTCGGTGAACCCCGTCGTCTCCATGATATCTCGGCGAGGAGTGCTCGAGAATCCACGACGACGTTGCCGCACCCTTAGGGGAACTTGAGTCGGCAAATTCGCCGTCGTACCACCAGCTGCGAGCGTCGCTCGCCACACACGATGCATCGATATTCGCAGCATTTCGACGTGACGAGGCCCGGGTTCTTGACCGTGAACAAAAAGGGAAGATGGTGCTCCAACACCGTTACCGGGGTCGCAACCCCACTACTACTTAGGGATCATGGTGTGCTGCATTAGTGCAGCAGACTTCCAAGGCGCGTGTCTTGGCCATGGCAACGCCAGATGTACTCAGCGTTCACTCATAAACCCAGCAGCTTTTCCCGTGAGGAGAATCTAATTCTTGAATCTTCCGGTATGCTTAAGGTATGAGGAGTTATCGTGGATATGATTAAGAGTGCCCCATTGTAAGAGGAACGTTTGCGGACCAAACAGGAAAATGCTGTCTTAATTAGGGAAGCCAACGAGTTTAAATTACAAGTAGCTGGTCTATGAAAAATCATCAACGAGCTTGTCGAAAAATCAACATTCCCTAGGAATGACCCAGCATTCATTTCCTGGCCGCTTATATGTCCTGGCCCCCCAGTCACGGTTCGATGGCATCTCGTAGGTGTACTATATAGGGCGATAGAAGACAGTTAGTTCCTCAAGCTAACAACATTTCCACTTTTTGTGGTGTAGTCGTATACCTGGTATGGGGGAAGCGTCACATAAATACCAAGCAGCTGGGGTGGGGCTGAAAATACCAAGTTAGAAGTAGAAAGGGGAAAAGCCAGCAACAGCAGCTCCCTGGCTGCCTGCTATGTTGCTCTACGTGAGTAGATAAGGCCTTTATGTGTACCACGCCTGCTGGTTTATAGCGAGTGTCACGGCATTAGCAAGGTCACTCAACAACGGCGCCGATGCTCACGCAAAGGTTTACCGCCTTCTACAAACGAGTATCGTTAACCAGGCTGAACGTGGCCTTGATGCCCAGATGATCCGTTACCCAAGCCCTCTCGAATCCAAGCGCCAGCAACCCATCCTTCTGCTTCTTATCCCCTCCGCCCACCTCAATGTCAGCACCAAACCGCTCAAAACTCTGCAACTTGATTCCGCCACCGAAGAAGTACGCCTTGTCCATCCGCGAGCAACCGAAGCGCTCCCGCAACGCCGCCAGGGCCTGCTGGCCCCACGTAAATCCGTCATCGGCGCCCTCACGGCCGCCGAGCTCGAGATACGTGTCCTTCAGGCCGTTGTCGGCGTGGAGGGCGGCATCGAACGGCTGGATGGCGTTGAAGTCGCCCGTAATGACGGCGCCAGCGTAGCTCTCGTCTGCGTGCAGGTACGTCGCCGCGACACGCATCTGCGAGGGGCGCAGCGGCGGGTCCAAGGCCAGCGACTCGAGGTGCGTGTTGCCTAGCCGCACCTTCTTGGCTGCCACCGCGACGTCGACGAAGAGCGCGTCACGTTCCATCTGTGTCGCCGAGTAGTGGACCCGGAAGCACGAGGCTATCTCCAGGCGGCGGTCGACTAGCGTGACTGTGCCGTACAGACTGGATGCCCATGCGGAGCTGTCCAAATCTGTGATGTAGAATCTATCTCGGACCCACTCCTGTTGGCTAATGGTAATGAGGTCGGAGGGAGTGCATTCTTGGAGGTTGATAACAATGGCTGTGGTCGAAGCTAGCTGGCTCGTGAGTCCCTCAAGGTGAGCCAATGCAGCCTTCATACGTGTCTCGGCGAATGGCAACATGAAATCGATGTTCCAACTATACACAGCTATAGCGGAAATGCTTGAGGACTGCGATTCATCATTGCTGGGAGATGTCAGCGGCTTGAAAAGTTGCCAGACCTCGCTTCCCGAGTCCCAGGAATAATAGGGCTGTGGCCATGGTTCATCAGATTTCCATGGAATGAGTTCTGGTTGCTTCTTCTGTGCTGCGGCCTGCTTGATGGCTTTCTGAAACAGCTCGTCCATGGTTGCCATCGTGTCCTCGGGAGTGTTGCCGAGGGATAAGTGGAAGAGGAGGAGGAGGAAGAAGAAGAGGGGAAGGACACGGCGACGAGCGAGGGAAGGGATGAAAGGGTCACACGTGATCTGTGACACATCGGATAGTGACGGCCCAGTGGATTGGTGAACGCAACCGGACTGGCTGGATCAAACTCATGCCGCTTGAATTCGTTCACGACGACTGCACATGTGCCAAGTAGGTTGATGTTGATTTGGTCCGTAAGCAGTGAGGGGACTTGGGGGCTTAACTAAAGAGATGTGATGCTGACTACATATCAGTCGATATTCGAGGCAGGCTGTGACAGGTAAGTAAGCCCCGGCAAAGTATACCAACCAGTCCCGTAGATCTCGGCTCAACGCTTCTAACCCCAGGTTCCTATGACCTTCACGGAACTATTGCTCATATATGGTACGCGTCTCCCCTAGACCCGGGCACGACTCTGATGGCACGTCTCCAAGGCTCCGCTTACCGCAACCATGTTGTAGGACCGATAATTCACCGCCAAAACAACTGCATGGGGGGCAGCAAATGCTACGCTCCAAACCACCAGACCCTGCCTGACTGGTTTACAGGCGCTCATCCATACCTGTGTCACACGAGGTTGGGGTCTCACACTTGTAATAGCACTATAGACACTAAGTCCTAGTGGTCGAAGCTACACCAACAGCATATAATCAAGTCAACGGTTGTTACCTAGGAATCAATTCGGCTACTGACAGGGAAACCAACGACGGGTTCTGCGTGTTTGTGTTACCTATATCCTTTGAAGGTCGTGATGTGTAGCGCATGCTACCTAACCACCCGCTCCTCCACCTTGCGCTAGAATAGAAAGCTTTCTTGAAAATTCGAGATCTGGTATCTTTTGTTGACCGCAGTAACCGAAAGGAGGCACTGTCTTCGCGGTTGAGAGAAATTGTAAAGACGGTTGAATACCTATACAATATAGAAATCTATACTTTGAATGTATATATTAAACGTGGTGGCTGTTTAATATGACGTGTCAAAGCCTGGGGAGAAATGAGTGACCGTTTACACAACTAATTGTCGGGAAATACAAGGCACGTATTACCCAGTTCCTTCTGTGTTCTCACGGCATCCAAGCACAATATTCATTCCCTGCAACGATTTCTACCTCGGAGATTTCCCCTCAAGCAACTTTCTCAAGAGCCCCCTTCAGAATTTTAGCAACATTCCCATCCCTAGGCCGCAAGCGGATCTTGAAGGGCACAGGCGACCGTCCTGATAGACCGTCGTACTGCTTCAGATCGACGGCGTGTCCTGGTGCGGTTTCCATGTGAAAGGACCATAGCATGCGCGAGATGGCTAGCCAGATCTCGCGCTCCGCGACGCAGATTGCCGGGCAGATGCGCCGGCCGGCGCCGAACATCCAGTGATCGTGCTGGTTGGCGTCGGCCAAGTTGGAGCTTTGTGCGGACGTGAGGGTGTCATTTAGGTAGCGACTAGGCTATAAGACGAGTTAGAATAGAAGCAGACGGTATTGTGCAATAGCAATATAATAATTACTTACGTTGAACTTGTCTGGTTCTGGGAATCGCACCTCGTCGTGGTGTATAGTCCATGTATTTAGGACCAGGACCGTGTCCTTAGGGATCAGCTGTCCTTTATATACGAGATCCTCGGATGTTGCGTGCGGCGTTCCTAGCCAGAACGGATTGTAGCACCGCTCAACTTCCTTAATCACCGCACGGCAGTATAGGAGGTGCTGTTCATCCTTAATATCGGGCAGGCGGTCTCTACCCACAACACTGTCTAGCTCCTCTTGGGCGCGTTGCTGGATTTCGGGGTATGACGGGATGAGTGCTTGAAACCACTGCATAATAGATGCCGTCTGTTGATTACATTAGCTCTAGTTGTCCGCACGAGTGCTCCTTACTCGTACCGTCTCAACGCCGCCAATCATAAAAGCTGATGTAATCATGGCCATGTCCAGATCATCCAGCTCCTCTTCTTCACGGATCCTGAGCAATGTGCTTGCTAGACAGTCCGGAACCTCCTTTCCGAGGCTCATACACTGGTTGATTCTTTCAATCATACCTCCATACGTCTCAACCAGGTCGTGGTGTAGCTTTTGGCCACGCGAGCGAACCTCGGAGGGGAAGTATTCTAGTAGTGGCAGAAAATCGATCAGGTTGGATACTGGTCCTGTACAATTCCTATGAAACAAAACGATAAGTTGGATCCTAATTCCATGTTCAACATTACTACATGAATTCTCGACCCAGTCGTAGAGCTGTCGATACGAGTGGATCCTGTACCGAGGCCGTTCTTACACCAAACACAATGCTCAACATGTTGTTGAGTGAGCAGCGGCCAGCAAAGGACTGAGGATTAACCAGCGCGGCACCACTTTGGCTTGCTTCCAGGAGGCAGTTGACCATGTCGGTGGCCTCCCTGTCAAAGACGGAAGTAAACTTGTCAACGGCCTTTTGGTGCAGCCAAGCATTCGCGATACGACGATGTCTTCGCCTGGGGAAACTTTCTCTCAGTCTTTCTACACGGTTTTGAGGGCTCGCAGCTATGGCTTACCATGTATCATTATATGGGGTCGCAGTGATGCCCCGCCCGGCAAATATCGTCTGGCTCTTAATGTACATGTCTTTGCGAGAGGAGCAAATAGCACCGTTCGACACCATAAGGTCTTTGGCAACATCGGGGCTGGAAATGACGATAACGAGCTGTTTGCCAAGCCAGACTGAGTACAGGGAACCAAATCGTTTAGCCCATTTGTCGAGCGTGAGTTCAGGATAGTGACTTAGAAACAGAAAAGATCCTGAAAAGAATTCTCTTAGTCATGACTTTTTTCGCCTGGAGCTAGCTTGAAATTGGGTGTCTTACCGATTATTGGGAGACCCTTTGGTCCTTTGGGGATTTTATAGTTCGACTTGTCGGTTTGGTAACTCCGGAACAGAAAGTGGGATGACAACAATAGAACGCCGGCGACAACGAGTCCTGTTAACGTGGTAGTCGTGTACCGAGAGCCAGGATCATAGCCATCTTTTGTTGTATTAATTGTCGAGACAAACGGGATGCCTTCAAAGTCGGCCATTATACACTATGTGATGAATGGGCGATGACGCTTTCGAGTTGGTTTGCCTCTTTAATGGCTACGGATGGGTGATTTTATATATGGCTATTGAAGAGGAACAGCGTGCCCACGCTGTTAAGGGGGACAGATGGAAAACAGCATAGCTGACTAAGATAAGAAAGAAGGAGACATCGTCACGAGGATGGGCATTTTAATCAAAGGCCAATAGGGAGAAGACAGGAAGGCCTCAGACGAATCCTGAAATAACAACAATGATTGTAATAGGTGGATGGTGATGGTAAGCTGCAACCGTATCCCGAACCCGATCAACCCTGATCTTCTACGAGCGTGCCAGTTCAACCAAAGGCAACAGGAAAAGGCAGGGAAGCCTCGGATAATAGGAACTGCAATAGAGCTGTAACTGTAACCCGGCCTAATCAACCTAGACCTGATTAACACCTTGATCAACTGAAACCGGGCTAGTTCAATTAAGGGCCAGCAGGAAAAGGCAGGAAGATAGGACCCAGGAACAGGAACTGCAACGGGTAAAACGAAACAAGCGCAGGTCTAAGGGAAATAAAAGAAACAATCTCACACGATGTAACGTAATCTCCGTGCTTCTTGTCCGCGTCTGTCTGCCGATCCTTTCTATTTGATAAACCTGATCCTGTAAACTGCCTTTATATATACGATTCAATGCCCGCTTCCAATGCCTGTCTTTCTGTCCGTTTCTTTTCGTCCGATAGCTATATCGGGCTTCCCTTGGCCTTGGATCTCTCCCTTGTACGTGGCTTCCTATGGCCATATATCGGTAAGGGCAATGATTAGGGTCTCAGGGTAAAGCAATTAACACAATTCCCGTACTATGTCCTGCTCCTATGTGTCTGGGCTCTTTTGTTTAATATTTATTTAACTCTTATATCGCCGTATCGTTCGTGTAGGTCTTGTTGCTGATCGATGCACCCCTGATCAGGTGCATGAGGTATAAGGTCCGTCGGTAATCTCGGCATGAAATAAAGCATCGTAGCGGCTCTGGTGGGAGAAACCTGCCCAGGTGCCGACTAGGTCGAGAAGGCAACCGAGAAACTAGAACAGGTAATCCTCCTGAACCAGCGGACAGGCCGCCTAGCCTCTCATGCTGATCTTTCGTTAAGCTTCTCATTACGTAGCCTTCGAATCTTTCTCACATCTTCTCTTATCATGGCCTATCCATTCCCTCTTCTCGTATCCTAATGCCTATTTAGGTACTTGAAACGCCGCCAATTCAGTATGAAGTTGGCAGAGCCTCAACCGTAGAATGGCGGACATACTGCACGCTTGTCGATCCCAACCACTGCTACTTGATATTTGTACGCCCGAGTAGCAATTTCGGAGATCGGGACTGACAAGGGACTGGTACGCGATAGTCCACGACCTTAGCCTTATCCTCTCGTATAGCCATACCAGACTTGGGTTCCTAAGTATAACACATGACAAAGTAGCTGGGGGGTTCCCTTTGTTATACGGGGATGGAATCCTGCGCTAATAAATCAGGCTATATAGGTTAGGAGGATAATATCGGGCATTAAGGCCGTTACCTCGGCGACTTACTAAGGAAAGTCCTAAATAAGCTTCGGATAGCTTCGGTATTAAGGTACAAAGGTACAAAGGTACATAGGTACTTCCGGGTTATATTAGGACGAGAAGGAAACGTAGAACTTGGAAAAGAATAAGGACCTAAGAGACCCCTTATAGAATTATTAATTAAATTAAACCTATTTTAAATATATTCCTTTATTATAAATAATTCTATATTATTCTTATCTTTATAACTTTATTATAAGTTAGTAATAAAAAAAGCCTACGCTTAAGCCGGCGTCGTACGCTAAAGCCGCTACCCCGGTATTATTATTACCGGATTAACCTCGACCCTTTACTAAAGAGCCGTAAGCTTTCCTATTCCCGCGACTAGCCGCTTCGGAGGTAGCGCCGATCTCTATAGCGGAGATAGCCTAAATAATAGCTACGATTAATAAACTAAAGGCCGTAATAGCGGAATTAAAGGCAAAGGACGCCGAACGAACTACTCTAGCGCCTTAGCCGGAGTTAATCCCCGAACTAATTAATAAATCCCTCGTCGTATATTAACCCTAGGAATATAAGGTAGTTATAACGGATACTCCGGAAATCGCGAACTTAGGAGTAGTTATACGTAATCTTTCGTAATAGATCGTAGATTTATATAAGTAAATAAAATAAGCGTATTAAAGCCTAGTAATATTAACTAATTAAGTCGACGTAAGATACCGATAAAATACGATTTTAAAGGAGTAATACGAATAACTACGATAGCTTTATTAAACCGTTATAGTAATATAAGCTACCGGTATCCGAACTACGAAAATATAGATCTACGAGTTTTAGAAATAGGTCGTAGAGTAGAATACCTACTTCGCTTAAAACGTATAGAAAACCGTAGCTAAGTTTACCCGGTAGGATAAAGTACGAACGGCCGTAATAAATTAATTCCGAAACGCCGTATTATAAAATTAACGAGCCTTAACCTAGTTACGCGAGGAATATAATAAATTAGTAACGGACGTTAGTTCCTAAGCTACGTAAAAGGATAGATAAATTAACGAAATCCTCGGTAGGAAATACCTTATTCCCGGGGCTATAGAGGAAAAAACCTAGCTAATTAAGGACGACCTTAAGGCTTACGCGATTAATTTAATTAAGGAATATTAATAACGACGATTAAGTAATAAGTTAACGGATATTAAGTTTATTATCGTAAGAGCTAACTAAAGGGTAAGAACGCTTATTCCCGCGCCGGGCGTCCGTATTACGATAGCGTCTACCGGAAGATATATTAATAGCAAGGCTAAAATAAGGGAAATTATCTCCGACGGCGTATTCTAAAACGCCGCGGCTAAACGTACCGCCGCGCGCGTAAGAGCCCGTTTTTAGGACGCCGCGGTAGGCGCCTTTATATTAGGAGAAGCCGGGTAAGGACTACCGTAACCGCTACGGATCCCGCGGAATGCCTTAAGGGACCTAGGGAATTCCGACGACTCGGATAACTTAAAATCCGGGGACCTATAGAGGCCGTAACGCCCGCCCGGCGTACCTAAAGAATTATAGAAGCCTCTCGACCCGGCCGAGAAACGTATAGTTAGGACTTAAACTAAAGCTATAAATAATCGACGAAGTATTACGGTAACGACTAACTTAGTATACCTTATTAAGCCTACGGCTTATAACGGTAAGGACTTAGCTAAGTTCCGATTATAATAAATTAAGGTTAAATTCTACCTCGAAACTTATAAAGAAAGCTTTACCCGGGACGTTTAAAAGATTAATTAAGTAAGATCGATACTTACCGAAAAGGCCTAGCTTTAGTATTAATAACGATTAACCTAGGTAAAAAGGTTAATAATCGTCGATACTTAAACGGGATACTTTTAAGTACTTTAAGAACGGTTTAAAGATCCCGTTAAACGATATCGTAACTTTAAGAAGATATAGGAACTAAAGTATTAAGGAAATATCTCCTAATACCTTACCGAGCTTATAAACCTTAACGATATCGTTTAATAATCCGGAATTACTTTCTGAAATTATATCGCCCGTATCTTATCCGACGAAATAATTAAGTTAGTTTACTTACGACTAGGTAGTATCCTCGAAAGCGATAAAGCCTTCCTTAAAATAATTAAGGAAGCCGGCTAAATCTACGAAAATATAATAGCTAACCTAGGGATTTCGGGAAAAGGAGGGTCCGCTTCGTAAAAGGAGCATACGAAAGCGGATTAGTAATAGCGGTAACCCGTAAAAGAAACTCGCTTCCGCTTAAGCTAACCGGTAAACGAACGTAAGGGAAAAAATAATAAGAAACCCGTACCGGCTAAGGACTTACGATAAGTAGGTAATAAAGAAGCTTTAACTAGGATTAACTAAGCCGCTATCGATTAATAAAAGAAGGATAAGAAGGCTTACTAGAGATACGGAAGGGATAATTATTAAACTTTAGTTTACTTCGTAAAAAAGGACCTAGAAGGACGGGACTTACCGGTATTACCTAAGAAAGTCTTATCGGGAAAAAAAGGAAGGAAGGAGTCCGAATAACTACTTAATAAAAGGGCTAGGATCGATATTATTATATAATAGGAGGAAATCCTTTCCCGTATTATAGAGCTATCCGATTCCGATAAAGAACGGGATTTTTAAATGTCTTCCCGTAAGCGTTAATAGGAGAAAAAGGCGAGAAAGATAACGTAAAGATTACGGCTATTAAACGGCCCGGAACGTTAGAAGTAACGAAAGCGGTACTAATAGCAAAGAAATTATAAATCCTCTAGCGTAACCTAGACGAGCTAAGGTTAAATAAACGGCTTATTTATACGATGTAAATAAAATATTAAGGAAAGTGTCACGGTTTTAAGAGCTGTTCGCTAGGTAAAAGCCGTATGTTAATGAACTAAAGCTAGACGAGAAGAAAAAGGAAGAAAAGGTACGCCGTATAGGCCGCACCTACAACAGCTAGCCTTATCCTCCGTAGGTGCTGGTCACGTGCTAAGCCCTGGCACTAGCCAGGGCCCTACTATAGGCATAGCCCATTACATAAGGTCCCCTCCCGGAAAAAAAAAAAAGTACGCCCTGCCGCCCTTTTCTTCGGCGTCTAGCCCTGACAACCTAACCCGTTTTCCTCCGCGCGCCTTAGGATGCGTGCCGCATCCTTAGGTGCTGCCTCCGTCCCCCGGGGTGCGCTAATCGCTCCCCGGGTTACTGCCTCCGCCTCCCAGGGTGCTGGTATACCCCTGGGCCTCCTCCTCCGCCGTTTCCTTCCCGGGGCCTTTCGTCTCCCGGGGTACTGCACCGGGCGCCTCTGGCCCCCCGGCGCTCTTCCCCCGGGTCCTACTCTTCCCCGGGATCTCTTCCGTAGGTCTCCGGGGTTTCTTCGCTTACCGGGTGCGCTTTCCCGGTAGCTACTCCCCCCCGAGAGCCCCTCCTCCTTCGCCGTTTCCCGGGTTGCGTTATCC